TTTAATATTATGTACAGGTACCACATTAAAAGAAAGGAAGATCCAAGAACCATCAATACTATATATCAAACCAGTTAGGGAATAAGAATCATAAATTATACATTCCTTAATATCACATGGCACATATCTATACTTCACATTTTCAAAATACACAGATTAATGTTATCTTGAGATCTATAAACATAATAATAAAATGCACATACTGTTAAACTTTGTATACTCCATATTTAGGAATCTAAAGATACAGAGTAGAAAGTAACACATATTTTGGTACTATGGAATACAATTCTAAAAATAGTAAAAATTTGCTTTTAGTGATCAGTCAATGCCCCTGGAAGGCAACTAACAGTTAAATCTCTGATGTTCTAAATGTAAAATTCTGGACCAGTATTCCATCCCATCTACCACTATAATGTTTTACATTACAGTTACCAGGATTGCCAAAAATGAATCATGAGTTTAAAAAGTTAGAAATTATAATTTGAATACTATTTTTCATCCTGTAATATAACCACAGGTTGAGTCTAGATATTCCTTATTCATTTAAAGATAGGCTATTTATACATAATCATACACGCTCACTAGTGAAACTGATAATTAATTCAGTGAAACACTTGAGAGACTACAGATGAAATCCTAAACTTTTTAGCCAATCAAATTCTCCAAGGATGACTGCAATGTGAATTTTCATAAACATTTTCTCATTTTGACACAGAAAATAAGTTCAGGTAGTTTAAGAAAGTGACTTGTAGAGTAAGACAACTGTCACTTCACTTGAAGTGATGATGTGATTATTGGTTCAAAAATTGCTGAATTGCACAGCAGGTTCATTCTGAGGCTACATAGTTTAAAAGAAACAGAAAATTAAAAAAAGAAGTTGCTGTGAATAGCAATAATAAAGAGTATATGGTAGAAAATGAGGCAATTAAAGAGTTAAGGATTCTGAGTCCAGATGAAATAAAGATGCAAAGGCAGTAACTGTAAGAACAAACACATAAAAGGTTAATAAAGAATATAAATGCCATCTGTTTTCATGTTTCCTAACAGTAATATTAAAGACATCTTATTGTTTCTATGTAACCCAGTGTTCCTTCATTATCTTGTGGTAAACACCACCCCTCTCCAATTGTCAAGCCCTCTAGCTTAAGTGGGATTGACTTGCGCTTCAGTTCCAGGGGTATCTATCATTCAGAATGGCCCATCCTGCTGGCCAAGGGATTGGTGCAGATAGGAAGGTCATCCACTTAAGAGATGCTCAGAGAATTCTGCTGGGGAATCTAGAAAAGAAAAATTGGGCAGCTATTTTGCAACTTTGAGAAAGCTGAGATACAGTCAAACAGTCTCCAGAAATCACCTCTTCTATACTATGAATGCCATGGTAGACTGTATACTATTTCAATACTTGTGTTATGTGTGGATACACAGCATAGTACAGGGATTAAGAGCACAAAATATAGAGCCTGGCTCTTGATCCTAATCTCGGCTCTGCTTCTTATTAACTGTGTGACCTTGGGTAAGTCACTTGAGCTCTGACTCAGTTTCCTTAACTGTAAAATGGGAATAACAGAACTCAGTAGGCTTGAAATTTAAATGAATGAATACATAAAAAGCAATCAGAACATTGCTCGGCACAGGATAAGCACTATATAAACGTTAGCTATTATTATCGTTGTTATGAGGATTAAATGAACAAATGAAAAGTCCTTAGAACAGTGCTTGACACATAGTAAACCCTGTATACATATTATCCATTATTAAAACTACCAATTCTGGCCGGGCGCGGTGGCTCAAGCCTGTAATCCCAGCATTTTGGAAGGCCGAGGCGGCTGGATCACGAGGTCAAGAGATCGAGACCATCCTGATCAACATGGTGAAACCCCGTCTCTACTAAAAATACAAAAAATTAGCTGGGCATGGTGGCACGTGCCTGTAGTCCCAGCTACTCAGGAGGCTGAGGCAGGAGAATTGCCTGAACTCAGGAGGCGGAGGTTGCGGTGAGCTAAGATCGCACCATTGCTCTCCAGCCTGGGTAACAAGAGCGAAACTCCATCTCAAAAAAAAAAACAAAAACAAAAACAAAAAAACTACCAATTCTTTCATTCATTCAACAAATATTTATTGAATGCCTCTTCTGTGCCAGGCCAGTGTCTTCATTCTACACAAGCAGTATCCAACAGAAATGCAATGTAAACCATATATGTGAGCCAATTATGTAATTTAAAATTTTCTAGTAGTAAGTAAATAAAATTAACAAATAAAATTACTTTTAGTAAAATATTTTCTTGAATCTCTAAAACATTATCATTTCAACATATCAATATTAAAAACAAGATATTTTACAATATTTCATTCTAAATCTTTGTGATCTCGCATTTTGTACAGTATATTTCTTTTTCTTTTCTTTCTTTTTTTTTTTTTTTTTTTTTTTGAGACGGTGTTTCGCTCTTGTTATCCAGGCTGGAGTGCAATGGTGCGATCTCGGCTCACTGCAACCTCCGCCTCCTGGGTTCAGGCAATTCTCCTGCCTCAGCCTCCTCAGTAGCTGGGATTACAGGCACACGCCACCATGCCCAGCTAATTTTTTTTTGGATTTTTTTAGTAGAGACGGGGTTTCACCATGTCGACCAGGATGGTCTCCATCTCTTGACCTCGTGATCTGCCCGCCTCAGCCTCCCAAAGTGCTGGGATTACAGGCTTGAGCCACCGCGCCGGGCCTGTACAGTACATTTCAATTCAGACTAGTCACATTTCAAATATTCAACAGCCACATGTGGCTAGTGGCTAATGCTTAGTTCTAGACATTAAGACATTAAAGAAAGAGGGGAAATGTTATCTTTGTCCTCTACCACATCTTGTTACTGACTACATAATTTTTTTCAATTTTTAAAGCCCTTTCACCTTTGTTATTTGAGAGTAACATGCCTTGCCCTGAAGGATTGATCAGATTTTAGCAGGTGGAGAAAGTTCCCTTCAAGAGGAAACACATGAGCAGAGGCAATAAGGCAGGAAAACAAAGGGTCTATTAGGGAACTACAAATCAGAGAGCAAAAGCTAAGCTGTACCAGGAAAGCCCTTAACGGCAGACCAGGGAGGCTAGATGTTGCTGGTCAGGTGGTGGGAAGAAACTGAAGGTTTGCAAGTGGGAGAGGCAAGATTAGATTAAATTAACAGCTGAAGATAGAGAGTATAGAGAAACTAGAGGTAGCTCATTAAGAAATCACTGCATTAAATCTCAGGCAAAAATGATCTAGATAAAGGAATGTAGAGGAAGAGATAGCCTCACAATGTCCAGTACTCAGGAGATCCCAATGTTAGATTCTTTACTCTAGCAATTGGATAGATTTTAAGGAACTGTCTAAAAAGATCTTTGTCTCTCATTCAACCAAAACAAGTATCTGAGCGCTTACTACTTGCCAAGAACTGTGATAGAACTAGAGTATATAAAAGAGAATAAGGCAGACAGGATTCCTGACCTCTTCTTTTATTTTCTTGAGGACAAGAGACAAAAATCAATTATCAGATAAACAGTTTCACAATGTGAATTACTATGAAAAAAATAATCACGGAGACAAGTGGCCAGGGAAGGGCACCCTGAAGAGTGAAAGGATGAAACGAACGGGATGTGCACAGTCAGAAGAGGGTTCCACGTAGAGGGATAATCATGGCAGAGGCCTTAGATATCAGTAAAACCCAGGGTGTTCACAAAGTGAAAGAACAATGTTGCCAGAGCATAATCTGGGTGGGGAGGTGTGGCCGGAAGTACAGTGAGAAGAGCAATCAAGAGGACAAGTCACCTTAGGCCTGTAGGCCATGACAAGGAACTGGATTTTAAGAGCAAGGGGAATATCACTCAATTTTAGTGTTCAGAAGGTTTTAGGCAAGGGAATGAAGTGATCTCCGTTTTAAGATCGATCTTGCTACAGTGTGAAAAACTGCCTAGGGATGGTAAAAGACGGAACCTGGGATTTCGGTTAGAAGGAAACTAGCACAGAGCAGGTTGAGAGATGACGGTGGCACGGTCTAGGAAGAAAGGCCCTTGGGAAACTTAACGGCTCCACCCTAACATTTTTGCAGAAATGATCCTTTATGATTGTGGTGCACAAATCCCAGGTGAGGTGAAGGATATTGTCCTGTCCTGTTATGAACTTCTCTGGGGAAAATGCTCTTTCCAAACTCAACATAAAATTAAATCTGTGTCAGTTCTAAGTATTAGAACATACAATCTTAACCAACACTGCTAAATACAAAATAGATTTCCAGCACATAATTCTCATTTCCTGAAAGGTGATTAGGAAACTTTCCAAAGAGATGACATACGGCTTGAGAACTGGGGGGTGGGGGTGGGGGTGGCAGGGAAGCCAAAGGAAGCAGCCGTTAGGACTCCACGCTGCAAGAACAGCCAAGTGCAGGGGACTTGAGATAGGAGCGAAATGGCCACGTCCCCCGAACAGAAGCAGCCCAGGGGCTGGCGCAGAGTCAACATCCATGGTTTGTGGTCCACGTTTAGTAAATGCCCAAGGAATGTCTTTTAATTCATCTGTCACCGCAGTGGTCACAAGCAGTCGCCATCAATTTATTTTTCAGTAGCCTCCCAAAAGGCTAAGGAAAACTCAGTTTCCGGTGAACCCAGGTGGACATGCTGATGTGACTTTAAAGAGAATGAATGTATCTATCCAGGAGGAGCCTGGCAGTACGCCCCCAAAGGCATGACAACAAAGTTCCTTACGGTGCAGAGTCACCCCCCTCCTACGAAATCTTACAAGCTCAGCACCCTCAAACGCCGACACGTCTGGAAAATTCGGAAGCGTTTCTTCCTGTCAGTGGGCCACTGAAGGCCCTTCCTACAGGACGGCCTCTCCTACCCCGACCCGGGGGTCTACCAACCAACTAGAAAACAGATTCCCTCCCTAGGCGGCGCGAACCAACTCTCCACAAACAAGTGGGATAGAGAACTGGAAACCGTGAGCTTACAGGGCAGTCCTTAACGTCACATCCGGTTGTCCGCCGGGCCGCCTCCGCCGAACCGGAAGTCGCAGGCGTGACGGCACAAAACGCCCGTCGAGGGCGTCTCTTTCAGCAGCCAATGGGCTCTGCCGACCTCCGTCCACGTCATTGTTTTGTCTAATCGCGGCCTGCGACGCTCGAAGGGCGGGGCGCAGAAGGAGGTACGGACACCGAGAGGGGTCAGGCGCCCAGTCGCTCCGAAGCGGGGAAGTGGGACAAGATGGTTTACATCTCGAACGGTGAGTTGAGGGAGGGCTGTGGCTTCGACCGCTGACCTGGAAGGTCGGACCCTGGGTTCCTTTCCTCGTCGCTCGCTGAATCCTGGGCCCGGTGCGGCTTCCCTGGACTTAGTGCCCCGAGGCCCGGCGGAGCTACTCGAAGTCGCCCCGGCTTGCGGCGCGTCAGCCGATTGTCTCCGAGCCGGCAGTCGGGGGCGGAGGTCCCGCAGGCCTCACGCTGAGTGTTGGGAGCCTAGCGACCCCGCGTTCGTGCAGCAAGCGTTTGATTGTGGATTTGCGAGGGTGGTCTTTCCTCTCGGGCGTCGGTATCCTTAAAACGACGTAAGGACACCGACGTAAGGACAACGACGCCGACGCTGTACACGTAGCGCTTGTGCTCTGGGCACTGTTTCGGTTATTTGCTTATCGTCCCATTCAATCATGTTTTACGGGTGGAAACTCTGAGGCGCAGATAGATTAAATAGCTTGCCCAGGATCACAGAGTTAACAGTCGATGGCTGAGTCGGGATTCGAACCCAGGTAGGCTGACGTCAGCATCCGTGTTATCAACTATGCTGCCTCTTTCTACAACGTGTAAAAAGACCGAGCTGACCTAGGATGGTAATTAGAGGAAAGCTTTGCATAGGCTTTTTCCCCAGGATAGGGTAGCTAGTCATACATGGAACTTTTTGTTCGAATTTCAAGGGACACGGGAAGAAGTACTATTCCCCTAGAAGCAAGTTAATTATTACCGGAATAAAGAATCTGAGAGACTTAATTCTGCGACTCCACAAAGAAGATGACCAAAAAGGAGGGACATGACTGTCTAAGATCAGTGCTAGAGCTGCCTGCCCACCTGTTTGACTCGGGTGAAATTCTTTGGTGCAGTTTTAACAAGGAGTTGTGGATCACTGGAACTAGGTCTTGGTTCTATTTGAGTCATCTGTTTTTCTCCAGAGACGAGTACGGTAGCAGAGAAGCATTCTTGCTAAGCGCACTTTTGTATTTCTTGACTTTTCAAAATCTTCCCTCCTCATCTCCTACTTAAAAATCTTTGAAACAAGTAGATCAATGGACATTACAGAAAAGCATCAAAATTTCATCTTAGTTTTAGGCGCTTTCGGACTTTAGTTTGTTTTAGAGCCTGTTATAGCCTTTGTGATGAAAGCTTACAGCTGGAAGCTTCTGTATGAATTGTTGAATGAGTCCTTGTATTTGTTGTCTTACTGTGTGTTCATTATTTCATTTGGTCCACAAAAGTAGCCGATTAGGGCCTTTATTGCACTTAAGAGTTGAGAAATGGAACTGCATTCCAACACCTTATTTCTCTCTGGAGATATTGGTGGAAGGGAGATTCTGCCTCCAGAAACTAGGAAGAAAGTGGAAAAGCAAGATAGAATCACAGGAAGAAATGACAGTTTCCAATTAGATACACCTTCTTAGGGTTGTATTATCAGCACTTAATGAACAAAAACCTTTTTCTTACTATCAGATGACTTTTTGTTTTGCAGCAATCTTACGTGATGGCTAGCCCTGGAATACTTTTTGTTGGAGAAGGAAAAATGTCACATCAGCCAACAAGCAGAGCTAGTAAGAGGCAGAGAACTAAGCCTGTCATCTACCCTCTAACTTTTGTAGCCCCTTGCTCTCAGTAGCACAGTGAGAGCTTAGATCCAAAATAAAGCTGGTGAAGAAAAGAGGAAAAGTAAAACCCTTGTGGAGCGGGTAGAAGTGAGTGGGGTGAAGCCCTTGGGATAATGGAAAGGAGAGGTAGTTGACAGTTATTCTTCCCCCCAAATATTCTGATGTCTTGATTTGCAAAGCTGAAATTACAGTGTACCAGCTTATATTGTAGCATCTAGTAAAGTGGTTTGAAAAATAGATCCAGTTTGCTTAAGATAAAACTAGAGTCTATTATTAAAAGCAAGAGTATGCTATTATAGAAAATAGTGGTTATTTAATGAAGAACAAGCCAAATTCTCTTTAGTACTTAGAGCATACACACTCTTTAATTTATAAGAATTTTATCAAAATAACTGATTCTAAAGACTTGTAAGAGTATGAATACACGATGTTTTTATACAGGCAATGAAATATTCAACACGTTTAGGAATATGGAAGTGGTGTGAGCATTCCTTTATATTCACCTGCCCCATTTGTTTCTTCAAAGTAATTGAATAAAGAGATATTTTTACACCTATGTTAATAGCAGCATTATTCACAGCAGTCAGAAGGTGGAAGCAACTCAAACGTCCGTCAACAGATACGAGTGGGTAAACAAAATGTAGTACATACATACAAGGAAATATTCAACCTTCAGGAAGGAAATTTTGACACATGCTACAACATGGATGAACTTTGAAGACATGCCAAGTGAAAAGCTGGTCACTAAAGGACAATTTTGCGATTCTTTTTTTGAGAGGGAGTCTCGCTCTGTCGCCCAGGCTGGAGTGCAGTGGCTAGATCTCAGCTCACTGCAACCTGTGCTTGTCGGGTTCAAGCAATTCTCCTGCCTCAGTCTCCCAAGTAGCTGGGATTACAGGCATGCACCACCATGCCCGGCTAATTTTTGTATTTTTAGTAGAGGTGGGATTTCACCATTCTGACCAGGCTGGTCTCGAACTCCTGACCTCGTGATCCGCTTGCCTTGGCCTCCCAAAGTGCTGGGATTATAGGCGTGAGACACTGATTCTTCTTTCATGAGTTCCTAGAGTAGTCAGATTTGTAGGACAGAAAGTAGAATGGTGGTTGCTGGGGCTGGGTGGAGAAGGTAATGGGAGTCAGGGTTTAATGGGTATAGAGCAGGCATCCCCAAACTTTTTACACAGGGGGCCAGTTCACTGTCCCTCAGACCGTTGGAGGGCTGCCACATACTGTGCTCCTCTCACTGACCATCAATGAAAGAGGCGCCCTTTCCTGAAGTGCGGTGGGGGGCCGGGTAAGTGGCCTCAGGGGGCCGCATGCGGCCCACAGGCTGTAGTTTGCTGGCGCCTGGTATAGAGTTTCAGCTGGAGAAGATGAAAAAGTTCTAGAAATGGATGGTGGTGATGGTTGTACATCAATGTAGAATGTACTTAATACCACAGGACTGTACTCTTTAAAATGGTTAACCATTGGTAACCATGGTAAATTTTTGTTACATATTTATAGAAAGAGAGAAAATACTTGAATAGAATGAAGTCACCAACCAAGATTATAAACTGCAGTAGGCTTTTGACATACTAGAGGACTGTCCCTAGACAACATGGAACATTACTTCTCCGAACCTTTCCTTAGAATGATGCTCAGATTTCTTCTGGTGTTGGCCATTTGGAACAGTGGGCAACTTGAAACCCAAGTCAATCATTGTTACCTCACCAATTAAATGCAGTGCCTCTTGGGTTAGGGATTGGTGACACTCAGTAAAGTTTCTTTAATTCTTGTCTGTAGGACAGGTGTTGGACAGCCGGAATCAGTCTCCATGGAGATTATCTTTGATAACAGATTTCTTCTGGGGAATAGCTGAGTTTGTGGTTTTATTGTAAGTATAAAAGTGCTCTTAATTATCCTGATATTTAAGTTGACAGGAGTACGTTGTGTGCATTATGTTAGGTATCTTAAATAAACCCAGCTTTTCTGAAGCAGTTGTTTTTTATTGCAATTAAAAAAATACCTTTACAAAGAGAAACAGACTTCAGTGATAAAGCTGCTACCACCAGACGTCTTATGATTATGAATATATGTTAGTTGGAATGGTAAACTTGACCATGTCTTAACGTTGGTGGTAACCATTTCAACCTATGGCTGGGTCTGTCCATTCTAATGCTAAATGACTGGGCCTCACTTTCTCTCTACTATTCTTGGGTGTGTGTGTGTGTGTGTGTGTGTGTGTGAACAACTTTTATTCCATATTATAAAATAAAGGGTTTTATATCCTGGTTTTTAAAAATATTCCTAAGTAGCAAACTTTTTTATAATGAAGGATTAGAATTGGTAAAGAAGACAAAAATTTAAATGTTTTCATGATTGTAAGCAGTTACCGAATGTGTTTTTTTGGTCTTTTACATGCTGTTTGTTAGAATTGTTCATGAACAATTAAGAAGTCTTACCTATTCCTAAATTTGGACACATATTTGAGTGTCTCATGATCTGAGAACTGTAGGGGCGCAAAGATGTGGGAGATAGACCCTTTTTTTTATTGACTTTACGATCAGTAAATATCCTCACATTGCAAGGGTGGGCATGACTGTGGGAGGTGAAAATCAGAGGAAGTTATGCCAGATAAAGGAAACCATATGAAGGATGGCAGAGAAGTTTTGAGTATCAGGCTGTGGTCTTTAGGCTTAATTTGATCTTAGCTGTGGTTTAGAAAATTTCATTTTATGGCTGTATATAGCATAAATTAGATGGCATAGAATGTAAAATGGAAGAGATGGTTCCACAAAAAAATACAAGGCACAAGAGAGGCCCTGAGTTACCCAATGTAAAACTTAGTCTTTTACAAATTTCACCTACTCCATGTTGTTTATAAAAATACTTTTTAAACTCAGTTGAATCTATGTCATTTTACATATTTTTTAAAAATTCCATTTAAATGGATTCCCAGAAGCCCTGTGCCTCTGCCACACCACCCTTGGTCCCTCCTTCTCCAAGATGTTGGGTAGACTTTTGCAGTGGAAATGAACATGAGACATTGTAAAAACCTGATGGCTGATTTAAAGTGGAGGTCAGGGATGACTCTGGTTTCATGCTCTGTCTAGGGGAGTTATTAGCAAATAAGAAATACAAAGAAGGGTGGATTTGGTGCACAACATACCACATTCAGTTTGTGGACACGTGCTTAAGTTAGATGGTGTGGTCCAGCTGGCTACAAGAAATGTGGGTTGGGAGCTAAGTAGGTTTAGTAATCCTCTCATAGGGATGACAGTTAGAAACCACAGAAATATATTTAGAATGTTGTCAAAAGTGATACCTTTGTTGTTTCTGCCCCTTGTTTCAGTTTCAAAACCCTGCTTCAGCAAGACGTGAAAAAAAGAAGAAGCTATGGAAACTCATCGGATTCCAGATATGATGATGGAAGAGGGTACAGCTTTTTAAATTGATAATAGTTGTTTTTATCTCTTCGTATATCTTGATTAAATTAGATATTTTAGGTAGAGTTAGATTTGTGGAAAGCAAAAGTTTAAATTCTATTTTACAAAATTAATGTTACTGTAAATTAAAAGTCAAGTTGCCTCCGATTTGAGAATAATCAGAGTTAATCTGACAGAGCTAAAATATACATCAAATATCCCATGGAAAAAGTCTAAATTAGAGGATGAAAACTGGTGGCCAGCATTAAAATCTAAAGACTTCATTTTAAAATCTGGATTTCCAGTTGTTAATTAAAAACTTAAAAGTTCAGATACCACTGGGCTAGGCTTACGTTTCCATGAGGCAAAAATCAGCTGGAGCTGGATTTCAGGGGTGCAGTACTGGAGGTGCCATTCAGTTCATCACAGTCCTTTCTTGACTCAGTTCCTTGTGTACGATATGTGTTTGGTCCCTTTAAGTGTTTGAATTTTTGCCTCCTGACCTAAAATGGTAGTTTTTATTTTAAATAATGTTTTAGGGTCATGCGGGTGCTGAAAAAGAATAGGGTCTAGTTGAGTGCTTTTAAAAAGAAGCAATTAAAGTTGTGTCTGTCAAACAGTAGATACTAACTTTTTATTTTGTTAGGCCGCCAGGAAACCCTCCCCGAAGAATGGGTAGAATCAATCATCTGCATGGCCCCAGTCCTCCTCCAATGGCTGGTGGATGAGGAAGGTAACCAGATCTGAAAGGATTTTGTAGGGTTTTGTTTTGAAAATGCTTCTGTAGTAATGTTTTCTTTAAGAAGTTGCCCGACAGTTTATAATTACTCAGATATTATTTGCAAATATATTTGTTATCTTTACCCTTGAAATATCCACTGGCCTTATCAAAATGTGTTTTGAGAAAATTTTAATAACATGTAATATGTTTGGCTTTTCACACAGATCCAAATTAATAACCAGTAACCAATTATTGTAACATTTTCTTTTAGGTAAATGTCTGCTCTAAGAAGCAGACAACTGGACATGTGCATTCATAGCAGAAGGAAACCATCAAGAAGTGGAAGGCTGATCATGCTGAGCAGTAGATGAATGTGTATGTCCAAACAAGGACTGTTCTGTGTCCTCACAGATGAATGAGGTCATGCCAGGAATTCCCTCTGCAGGGAACTGGCCTGACTGACATGCAGTTCCATAAATGTACATGTTTGTCTCATTACCTTTTTGTAAAGTATTAATATAGTTTTAATAAGTAAATTTTTAGGTTGCACAATGGACTCCTCATCTTTATATTAAATTCATGAAAAAAACTGAAAATAAAGCCTGTGTATTTAGCACTGTTAGTGTCACCTTTTCAACTTCTGAAATACCGTTCATTGTTAACTTTTTCTCATTTATAAATCACATTGTATTTATTTTGGTAGTATGCGTATCATATCTGTGCTCTTGAATTAATTTTTTAATATATTTGTCTCATGAATCTTTAATACATTTTGTCTGATTTGCTACCAAATATAATGATCCAGGGTATTTATAAAGCCATAGCTAACAAAACAGAGCTACAAAATGAAGATTTACTACATAGTCTTTAAACTCATGGACTTGGGCCGGGTGTGGTGGCTCACGCCTATAATCCTAGCACATTGGGAGGCCGAGACAGGCAGATTACTTGAGGTCAGGAGTTCAAGACCAGCTGTACCAACATGGTGAAGCCCCATCTCTACCAAAAATACCGAAATTAGCCAAATGTGGTGATGTGTGCCTGTAATCCCTGCTACTCAGGAGGCAGAGGCAGGAGAATCACTTGAACCCAGGAGGCTGAAGTTGCCATGAGCACAGCACTGCACTCCTGCCTGGGCGACAGAGTGAGACCCTGTCTCAAAGAAATAATAGTAATAAAATAAAATCATGGGCTTCAATGCTATCTTGACAAATTTGAACTCTATACAACTGCTCAAAATACTGCCTATTGGCTTTAAACTCCGTCTGAATACTGATAACTTTCACTTTCTTTCACTAGAATGGAAGCTCTGAGACTAGGAATTTTGTTGGCAGTCCTTTGAATAGTGATTACATGTAAGATAGTCATGTAGTATTTACTGGAAATAAATATTGGAAAAACGAATACAGATAATTCTAGTGTTTAACAGGCTTTGAAACCAGGTATTCAGGTGAAAGGCTTTTTATGTTGATTTATCAGCATTTATTCAACCCTGTTTGTCAGGCAATGGGATATTGTGGCATAAGATACCAGTGTTAGGATAAAGAAGTAATTATAATGCAAGTTTCAGGATAAGGATAACAGTTTGTTGGCCACTTCAGTTATGTATCAGATTTTTTTTTTGGTGACAGTGTCTCACCCCGTTATCTAGGCTAGAGTACAGTGGCTGCTCACTGTAGCTTCAGCCTTTTGGGCTTAAGTGGTCTCCTGCTATGGCCTCCCAAAATGGTGGGATTACAGGTGTAAGCCACTGTGCCCAGCCTGTAAATTTTTATACATTTTAAATTCTGACAATGTGAGGTATACGTATAATGTATACATATATACTAAGTGAGGTAAATGTATAATGACATTTGCATTATACAGATACATGCAAGCATTCAGTAAAGTTTGGCAGTTTCCTAGATTGTATGGCCAGTGAATGGCAGAGGCATTATTAAACCTCCATCCGACTCTAGCAAGGAGACCATGGTAGTCTCAGTAGGTGGTTGGTTGGTGTTACTGATGGCTTCGCCCGAGCATATGAACCATGGTCATCTTCTGCCTTTTAGCACTGCCACTGCTGCAGGACCTGTTCTGTGGGTATTATCCCAGAGTCCTGGCTGCATTGACATTCAGGTGTTCTATTTTGCACTTCAGATAGAATTACAGTGTGATAGAATTACAATGTAAAACACAGGCTCTTGAGTACTTGTGCTTAACACTTGTCTTTGCTACTCAATATGATCTTGAGTGGGTTATGCCATTTTATCTCAGCTTACCTGTAAAATGGGGATTAAATTTTTATCTCAAAGAGTTATTCATTTAGTATTTAGTCAACACATGCTTATGGGCACCTACCTGTACTGAAGATAACTGGCAAATAAAGTCTCAGAGCTTACATTCTAGCTTGGAGACAGTAAGTGAGCAGGCAAGGTAATTACAGACTAATGCTTCATGCTTTAAAGGAAATAGGATGATGAGAGGTTAACTGCAGAAGACCTGAGGTGACATTTGATTTAGGAGGTGAGAGAATGAGTCAGCTGATGGAAGAGCATCCAAAGCAAAATGAACAGCAAGTGCAACAGCCTGATGATGGGAAGGGCTTGGCATGTCAGAAAGATAAACAAGTGTCGCTGGAAATGCCAAGGAATGGGGAGAGCAGTGTGAGGTGAAATTAGAAATATAGCAAGAACTAGATGTGGTCTCTAGGTGGTGGTTAGATCCTGTTCCTTGAGCAAAGGGAAACCATTAGAGTTTAAAGCATGAGTGACATCTAAATTTTGAGACAAGTCTTACTAAGTGGAGTGCAGGGTACACAGTATTGTCTTAACTACGTATTTTAAAACAACATGTGGGCAACTATGTAAGAACAGATCTTATGGTGACAGGACAAGAAGTTCAAGTTAAGAGGCTGTTGTCATCCAGGTGAGATGGTAGTGGCATGGGACTGGAGAAGTGGACAAATTCAGATTGGATGTAGAAGCTGTGGACAAATGAAGAATCAAAATGACATCTACTGAGATGGTGAAAGTCAGAGGGGAGGGAATCGTGAATTCCATTTTGGACATACTTAAGTTTGCAGTGCCTTGTAGTCAATCCAGATGGAGACCAAGAGACACTGGTTATCGGTCCGCATCTCAGAGAGGTTCAGCCTGGACATGTACATCTGGCAGCCATCTTTAGGAAACTGGATAGTCACCCAAGGAGTGTGTCTGGAGACCTAACCCCAACATCAGAGCGCGAAGACATACAAGAAAAACTAACAGTACATGTGGATCTGGGAAGCCAGGAGCAGAGACGCCTGTGAGAAGGAAATAAGATGCTGGTTATCGGCCGACCCCCACTAGGCGCTCAAAAAGCTATGTGTACTATGTTGCTAGCATCCTACAGCCAGGACCAATCACAGAAACACCCACCCAACCCGCAAGGGCACCCTGTTCCGACTCCTGCGCCGGGCAGCCCCGCCCCAGCCCTCCCGGAGCCCTCTGGGGCGACTCCGCGGCGGCCATCTTGACTGTGGGCAGCCGGCCGTGCGCCTGCGTGGTGGCTCTTCCCGGCAGTCCTGGCTCAGTCGCTGAGGCGAGAGTTTGGTGGGTGTCGGCGGCCACGATGACCCAGGCTGAGAAGGGTGACACGGAGAACGGGAAGGAGAAGGGCGGGGAGAAGGAGAAGGAGCAACGCGGCGTGAAGCGCCCCATCGTGCCCGCGCTGGTGCCGGAGTCGCTGCAGGAGGTGCCGCTCTGGGCGGGTTTGGGTTAAAACCCTGTACCCTAGCTTGGGTCTTCCGCTGTGGGCCAGGGGGCTAGAGGCGGCGGGAGGCTTCGGGGCCCCGCTGCAGGCCCCGGCCCTGGTGGGGAGTGCGGAGGTGGTCGTTCCTTTCCGGGTCGTGGCGCGCCGGGAGGTCGAGGACTAGGAAGCGCGGAGCGCCAGGAATCAGGCGGAGCCCCCGCAGGGAATCTGCTCCGACCTCCCGCCCTCCTGCCCCACCGGCTGGCTGTGTTCGCTCCGGCCCGAGCTCTGGCCCCGGCTTCCCCAACCGTAAAAAGACCATGGTGACACTTTCCGCCTCGCAAGTTGCCATGAGGCTTAAATGGTGGCAGTTTAGCACCATGCTGGTTCATTGGGAGCGTCAGCCTGTAGTCGTTAAGGAATAGTTCGGGGTTCAGGCTTTTTCGTTTGTTAAGGAAATTTCAGATAATGGAAGTCATTACAAGCTTACAATCAAGGAAATGATGTACGTTTGTCTGAATAGATATTAAGAACTTGTGTATCAAAGACAACCCGATTAGACCAAACTAATCAGAAAAAAGTATTTGCAGTAGCATGCCTGGCAAAGGACCTTAGGCGTATACATGCACACACACCCCTACCGATCAGTAGCTAAAACAGCATTCATGTAGGAAAACGGACAACGGCAGTGTACAATTCACATAAGAAATAAGGAAGCATAAATTGCTCGGAACTTCATGTAGGACATCTCTGAGCCAGCTTCCTCACCAGGAGATGGATTGAGGATAATACCTAACTAGTAGGGCAGCTAGTTAGCTATCACTGGTGTGACGGTGCCTGGCACACCGTAAGCCCAGAGTGACCATTGCTATTGCACGGGCCTGGTTTCTCCATCTCAGAAGGCTGCTTGGACAGTCTGGTCCGTAAGGGCCTTGCTCGATCCCTCCCTCTAGGTTTCTCCCACTCTGTCGGGGGTGATTAGGAGAGGAGAGCTCACACTTGGACATAGGGCAACAGGTATGAGAGCATAGCATGGAATGGCCTTGTGCAGAGGGAAGTATTGGGCCCTCAAGCAAGTACCTCCTCCATCCCTGACAGGGAGGGTTTCTTCAAAGGAGGTGACATCTGAAGAGAGACCTGAAGGTGATTAGGAGCTAGCCACAGGGAGGGGGAAATCTCAGGGAGGAAGAACACTGTTGAAGAGACTTGTGCCAAGGGAAGATATGAAGTGTTGGAGGCACAGCCAGTGGATTAGGATGTCTGGAGTTAAGGAAGAGGACTGGAGATCTTAGCAGGGGCCGTATCATGAGGGTCACGTAACCCAGAGTCTGACCTCTTGTGAAGGCAGTGGTTCACCTTGAAAGGCTTTACTCTGTTAAGAGCCAGCATTCCTTGAATGCTTCCTGTGGCCCAGCTCTGAGTTAAAAGATTAACTCATTTAATCCTCACAGTAACTGTGAGTTAAGAACTAACTCCAGAGCAAGGGAGTGGCCTTCTGAATTTGCAGACAGATCTGTGAATTCAGAGCCTGGGCCCAAATTCTGTAGCAAAATTCTTCAGTCACATAAATGCTTAATAATTGTATGTTAATTTGTAGTGGATAATTTTTGTTTCATTCATTGAAACAAATATTTGTTGAGCTATGTACTATCACTCAGGTTAAGGGAACATAATAAACAGTGAGTTTGTGTTTAGGTAGAGAGGAGGAATTAGATACTTCTCAAAAAACTCCCTTTACTGAATTATTTTGATACCTTTGAGCCAACTTCTTAGTTTAACTTGTTATATGTATGTTGTTTAACTTTGCTACCTGCATATTATTTACTAAGGTCACATATGTATGTTTTATACCTGCAGCAAATTCAGAGCAACTTCATCATTGTCATACATCCAGGTTCAACAACTTTAAGGATTGGTCGAGCCACAGACACTCTTCCTGCCAGCATTCCTCACGTCATTGCACGAAGACACAAACAACAAGGGCAGCCCCTGTACAAGGACAATTGGCTCCTAAGGGAGGGACTAAATGTAAGTCAAAAATAGAGGACCTAGAGAGAAAGCCTAAGGTCGTTTACCTGGGAGGGCTCAGAGACTTTAAGTACACCAGAATCTTGCAGAAACATCTTCATAGCTTTACTGTGTTTTAAAATAAAAATGTCACTCGTTTTTCATCGGAGCTAGTGACTTTAGATGTAAAGAATTACAACAAAAGTAAATCTTTCAGGGTGAATTGAGTGTTGATGAAGGTGATCTATAATGGAAGACACAAAATTGTCACTCACAGTGATACATTCAGGTCCTTGTTAACAGGCTTAAACTTACTGGGTAAGCGGTACTTAAACTGTAAGTATCTCTTCCAGATACTTAAGTATCTGGAAGAGATACTTAACAGTTTAGTAAGTCAAACTCTTATTTTCAATCTATTAGCAAATTAAATTGTTGCAATAAACTCTTATTATGGTCTTAGATTAACCAAATTTCAAGGCAAAAAAAAAATTTCCCTGCAGTAAGCATTTACGTTATCCTGTGTTGCAGATGGTAATTATCAGGAAATTCTTTGTGATCAGTGATAAATCTATATATTACATTATAATTCACTTTTTACTTTCAAGTTTTAAGTCATGGATAGTTTTGGGAATGTAAAGTTTCTTTAATTCTGATAGTAGGCCTTAGGGTTTCATTTTTTTAGTGTAACCAGCAGACTCTACAAAAGTTCAGTTGTAAGCTTATACTGAATAGTAAGTTTAAGCTTATTACTTAGTGTAGACTCTTAATATAATAAGTAGACACTTATTATATACTTATTATACACTTATTATATACATCTTGCTGATGTAAGAGTCTACACTTAATTATTTATCTTTGGATCTTATAATTCTACTTTAGGGAATATGTTTAAGGAATAAAAATAAAAAAAACAGTTCTGTAAAGATATTTATGGACATTTTCTTTATAATGAGAATACTTGCTGATCGACATGAAGGAATGACATTGTCAAAATTGTAAACATAAGCATATAATTGTATGGCAGAGTCTGAAGTACTTTTTAAACACGAAGTCGGTATGCTCTGATTAGTGCTGTGAGAAATTTTATGAAAAATCACTTGAAAATTACAGTTGGTTTATAGCGAGGGCTGCTTTTGACTTATTTATAATAAAAGATTTCTGGGAATTCTTTTTTTCTTTTCTTTCTCTTTTTTTTTTTTTTTGGAGACAGAATTTTGCTCTTTTCTTCAGGCTGGAGAACAATCATGCGATCTTGGCTTATTGCAACCTCCATCTCCTGGGCTCAAGCAGTCCTCCCACCTTAGTCACCCAAGTAGCTGGGACCACAGGCCTGTGCCACCACACCCAGCTAATTTCTTGTATATTTTGTAGAGATGGTGTTTTGCCATGTTGCCCAGTCTGGAGGGAATTCTTAAAAGTGGAAATGCTGGCCGGGCGCGGTGGCTCAGCCTGTAATCCCAGCACTTTGGGAGGCCGAGGCGGGTGGATCACGAGGTCAAGAGATCGAGATCATCCTGGTCAACATGGTGAATCCCCGTCTCTACTAAAAATACAAAAAATTAGCTGGGCATGGTGGCGCGTGCCTGTAATCCCAGCTACTCAGGAGGCTGAGGCAGGAGAATTGCCTGAACCCAGGAGGCAGAGGTTGCGGTGAGCCGAGATCACGCCATTGCAGTCCAGCCTGGGTAACGAGAGTGAAACTCTGTCTCAAAAAAAAAAAAAAAAAAAAGTAGAAACGCCAGATATAGGTGAAGGGGAGGAAGGCAGCAAATCACGCTGCCATGTGTGTACCTATGCAACAATCTTGCATGTTCTTCACATGTAACCCAAAACCTAAAATGCAATTAAAAAAAAAAAAAGTAGTACATATGTTAAAGATTAGGGAAATGCTACTTGTTGATGAAGGAGCATTTCCTAAGGATGGATTAAATTAGTAGTTTTTGAATTGCTTTCTCTTCTCATTAAATCTTTTATACTGCTCATCTTTCATTTTTTTCCCCCAGAAACCGGAAAGTAATGAACAAAGACAGAATGGACTTAAAATGGTGGATCAAGCAATATGGTCTAAAAAGATGTCCAATGGTACAAGACGCATTCCTGTGTCCCCTGAACAGGTTTCATCAATTCTTCAAATTTATTCTTTTATCACCACTATTTGTATCATAATATCATTCCCATGTCCTTCCTATATCACTATGCAAGTACAAGATGGGAGTTCCTTAAAAAGGAAGAAAAACCCCTCATAACTACTTACAGAATACCTGAGTCAGTGTTATCAATGCATAGGCAAGCCACATAATTTATAAGGTGGTAGTAGGCAAGTTGATGGAAGTTTATACTTTACCTGAGAAGATGTAATTCCAGGATCTTGGTGGGAAGGAGTTCTTACTACATTCTTCAATTTCATATGATAAACCAATATGATAGGAATGAACATGAGTCTGTATTACATATAAATTTGAATTCATCTTTAGGCAGAGTATAGTGTTAATTTTGGACTGGCTGTGAATCACAGCCTAAGTGTTAAAATTGGGAAAAAAATTGCCGGGCGCCGTGGCTCAAGCCTGTAATCCCAGCACTTTGGGAGGCCAAGGCGGGTGGATCACGAGGTCGAGAGATTGAGACCATCCTGGTCAACATGGTGAAACCCCGTCTCTACTAAAAATACAAAAAATTAGCTGGGCATGGTGGTGCGTGCCTGTAATCCCAGCTACTCAGGAGGCTGAGGCAGGAGAATTGCCTGAACCCAGGAGGCGGAGGTTGCGGTGAGCCGAGATCGCGCCATTGCACTCCAGCCTGGGTAACAAGAGCGAAACTCTGTCTCAAAAAAAAAAAAAAAAATTGGGAAAAAAATTAAGATTGTAGAAAAGGACAAGAGAATCCTCCTGCAACCAGTCAATATTTTCCCAAATATGTATGATCGAAATTTGCCAATGTATCTAGTGTGTGAGAGAGAAGAAAAGGAGTCCCTTATGTTGCCCCTACCTTGTATAAATTCAGATTGTTTTTTGATGGTTTTTCTTTTCAGGCACGCTCCTACAATAAACAGATGCGACCTGCAATTTTAGATCACTGTTCGGGAAATAAGTGGACAAACACATCTCATCACCCTGAGTATTTAGTAGGAGAAGAGGTAAAAAGTTTCTTTACAATAGAATGAAAGAAGAGGATCCTGATCCTCCTCCTAAAATTCACTTACATTGCCACCCAGTTCTAGTTGTTTCCTAGCATTCTGTAACCCTACTTTGAGGACTAGATAGTCACACCTCTCTGCTTCACTTTCAACATTTCTAACATTCAGCAAATGTTAGTTCAATTTTAGGATATGAATCCAGAAAACCTTGAGAGAAAGTTTTAACCATGCACTATCTCTCTCCTTTTCTAGGCCTTGTATGTTAATCCACTGGATTGTTACAATATTCACTGGCCTATCAGGAGAGGTCAGTTAAATATTCATCCAGGCCCTGGGGGCTCTCTTACAGCTGTTCTGGCAGATATTGAAGTAATATGGTCTCATGCAATACAAAAATACTTGGAAATCCCACTGAAAGATTTAAAGGTGAGCTAAAATGCTCAGTTATTTGGATTGTTTTCAATATTCTTGGTCAATAAAAGTACACATTACTGAGTTGTTTGTAATATAGTGTCCTTCTTGAAGCATTCTTGGCCTTCAGGGTGAAGATCTTGGTGGCATGAGGATGTCTTTTCTTCTTCACTTAATTCCCTTCTGGTGCCTTTTTTTTCTTCTCTGTTTCTTTGGTGTCTCTATTACTCTATTACACCATTTTTATGTCTTCTCTTTAGACCTGATGACACATCAGTTGTCTTTTCATTTTATATGTTTTTAATAATTTCAAGGGAAAAAAAAAAACACTTGAGCATTTTCTTTTTCTTTATAAAACCCAAAGGATAGCACAGAGGTTTGAACATTTATTCTGGGTGTGTAACCGTAGCTACTACTCCTTCAGAGGGAAGTCTGTCTAAAGAAGCGTGGTGAATTTGACCTGACTAGACTTGAGTGTTAACCCTTTTATCTTTTCTTCTTTGTTTTTCTTTTTAGTATTACAGATGTATCTTATTAATTCCTGATATCTATAATAAACAGCATGTGAAGGAACTAGTGAATATGATACTAATGAAGATGGGTTTTTCAGGTATGTCTGATATCTCAGTGAAACCTATTTTAAATGGAATTTTCTTTCTTTAGTAACAGAGTTAATCTAATTTACTGACTTATTTAAATGCTTATTCTGAAAAGATGAGTGTTTCTCAGACGCTCTGCGCAGAGATTCCCTAGGCTCCCCACTTCAGTTGATTATCTGTTTTGGGATCTTTACTGCTCTGCAACTGATGACTACTCTGCTTCTTTTCTTTCAGGGATTGTGGTCCATCAGGAGTCTGTGTGTGCCACCTATGGAAGTGGCTTAAGCAGCACATGTATTGTAGACGTTGGGGACCAGAAGACAAGCGTATGCTGTGTGGAGGATGGGGTATCTCATCGGAACACTCGGTAAGGAACTTGGAAGGTGGCATTCATTCTCTGTTCCCTCTTCCCTCATAATCTTTTCAACCATAAATAACAAAAAATCAAGTTAAAAATGATAAGCATATATTCAAAAGTCTGCATAGGAAACCAGCAAGATTATGGAAATGCAAATTCTAGCAAGGCTAAAACAAATGATTTTACCTTTCCCATTGAAACTCCTTAATACGGATTTACATCAGCAGCCCCTGAAAGTCCTGCTATGTTTTATGTGCTTTCACATAGAGGAAGTGTAAACAGTAACTTCATGTCTTTAGCTGTGGTTTGGCATAGAGCTACTAATCACTCCCTTATTGCCGAGCTTTATTTAGGCAAGTCCTATAGGGGAGAATAGATTTTTTGGAATTCTCTGGCTAGCCTTTCAAATATCTGCATTTTTTGTCATAGTGGTGTTCAGTGTGTGACTTTATGATGATAGACAGGTAAACAGAATAACTATCAGGACCAGATTTGCAGCTTGTCCTTCAGCAGGCAAGCCAGACAGCCTTAAGCACACTCAGGTAATGCAAGTATGGGTTCTCTTGCCGCATCGTGTGCTCCAGGGAGGGCTTCTTCCTGCCCCTCAGGGGTGCTTTCATTCTTCCTGTCCTCCACAGTTAGGTAGTTTGAGTCTTTAAAAGGGGGCTAAATTGGCCATGAGAAATTGCTGCCTCCCACTCCAAGTTCCAGTACATTCTAAAATCCATTTTGAGTTATTTTGGCTCATGTGTTGTTAAAATATCCAGTGCTAGTGATTCTCAAAGTATGGAGAAAATGCTGAACCCAGGTTTCCTACCGATAAAATAGTATAGCACTTGTCTTCCCAAATTGTAGAAACCTTCAGTTAGTAGACAGCTTTCTCTAAGCTTTTCTCCTGTAAGTTTGTCTTGTATTGTCATTGCCTGCCATCCTTATATGCTAGTGAGTGTAGACCAGCAAACAGCTGTCGTATGATAAACACATACTGACTTGGAAGTGAACTGGATTTAATAGTGAGTATAGTGTTTCTCAGATACATTTTGCAAACATCATCACTACTTTAGGTGCCCCTCCACTGGTTTTTGCTAAAGTTCCCTTTCTCCCTTCCATCCATTCATTCTGTCCTTTCAAGAAACATTTCTTGAAACTTGCTGTGTATCACTGTGTTTAATAGATTTGTCTTTTGTGGGGTTTTGTTTTGCTTTTTTTTTTTTTTTTTCTTTTTTAGATAGAATCTCACTCTCATCCAGGCTGTAGTGCAGTAGCGTGATCATGGCTTACTACAACATCCGCCTCCTGGGTTCAAGCGATTCTTGTGCCTTAACCTCCCGAGTAGCTGAGATTACAGTGTACACCACCATGCTTGGCTAATTTTTGTATTTTTAGTAGAGACAGGGTTTTACCTTATTGACCAGGATGGTCTCAAACTCCTGGCCTCAAGTGATCTGCCCATTTTGGCCTCCCAAAGTGTTAGGATTATAGGCAGGAACCACCAGGCCTGGCCCTTAATGGTGCAATCACCTTTTCCTCTTCTTAACCAACAGATTAACCATTTATCCTTTTCTCTTAACTTTAGGCTTTGTCTAGCATATGGAGGATCTGATGTCTCAAGATGTTTTTACTGGCTAATGCAGCGAGCTGGGTTCCCTTACAGAGAATGCCAGTTAACAAATAAAATGGATTGTCTTCTTCTGCAACACCTTAAAGAAACTTTTTGTCATTTAGATCAGGTGGGAGCAGAATCAATATTGCTGATTGTTTTTGTTTCTGGAAAAAACTTAAGAGATTTAAAAGATACTTAAAAATGTAACAGCATTACACTACCCCTTTCAATCCAAGGTAAAGCCTTGAAGCTAAAGCTCTTCAGGAGTGAGTGTTTTTTGCTAAGGTCAGAGCAGTGAAGATGTGTCTTCAGGCTCTGGAAAACAGTTTGATTGTTTTAGGAAACAGAATTTAGCAAATTTCTCTCTCATCCTGATAAAAGATGAAGATAAGGTGTAAGGAGTATAGCAGGTAAATATGTAAGTACAGACATTTTATTAAATGTTGTAATTTCAAGCAGGTCCTTAGTATTGGTAGACAATCAATATTTAATCAATCATTGCTATATGTGGGTTTCTATCCTTTTTTTGTTGTAGACTTGTTTTTTACCTGTTTCAGGTAATATTCTAAATTTTTAAAAATTGGGGAAATATTAAAATACTGTAAACTTCCCAGTTACCGAGGGAATTTGCTTATTGATTTGGGTCATTGTTTGTACTAATGTATATTGATAATGGAGAAAACAATGCAAACAGTGGAAATTCCAGAAATGTTAAATAGGGAAACAAAGTACAGCTGAATTCCTGTTTTATTAAGTTACAGTGAGAGTGGTACAAAGTTGTAGATGGAGCTTTTTCTTTGAAGGAGTCTCACTCTGTCCCCCGGGCTGGAGTGCAGTGGCACAGTCTCAGTTCATTGCAACCTCTGCATTCCAGGTTCAAGCTATTCTCCTGCCTCAGCCTCCCAAATAGCTGGGACTGTAGGCGCTGCACCGCTATACTCAGCTAATTTTTGTATTTTTAGTAGAGACGGGGTTTCACTATATTGGCCAGGCTGGTCTCAAACTCCTGACCTCGTGATCCGCCTGCCTTGGCCTCTCAAAGTGGTGGGATTACAGGTGTGAGCCACTGCGCCTGGCCTACGTGGGCTTTTTTATAGGTGATATTTAGCTGTTGGAAGGCTGAAGGATAATTTGAAGAGTTTACATGCATTCTTACTGATTCACTGACAGCATCTTTTCCTGGAATCAGGACATCTCTGGGCTTCAGGACCATGAGTTTCAGATTCGACATCCTGATTCTCCTGCCCTGCTTTACCAATTTCGATTAGGAGATGAAAAACTCCAGGTAACTTATAGGTGTATATTTCCATGGGTACAAAGAAAGTTATCCAGGCCAGTCAAACTGAGAGAATATGCACTTGCTGGAAACACTGTGAGGTCAGAATGTCAACTGGTTGGAGATTATCCACTAAACCAACATTTAAGCCACTGGTAGAGTATCGACTAGAATGGATCTGAAGAACATCTTTCTAGTTAGCCACTATATGATGAGTTGTTATTTAGAGAGAAAGGTATCATTCTTATTAAGAAATTATGAAGTAGATGATGAGGTACTTTATATTTGCTTTGAGACTTCTCTCATATGGTGACATATCACCCATCTAGTTGGGTGATGAGTGAGTTTTCTGGCCTGTAGTACACCAGAGAAATAATGTGACTCCCAAAAGAGAATTAAACAGCAACTAAACACTGCTCAGCCTAACTTAGAGAATCTGATCTGCCAGTTTTGTTTTTAGAACAGAATTCAGTGGATCAGCATTTTTTAGGAGGCAGTATCTTTTGTTGATCACTCTTTTCCTTCCGTGCACAGGCTCCAATGGCTTTGTTTTACCCAGCAACCTTTGGAATTGTTGGACAGAAAATGACAAGTCTGCAGCACAGATCTCAGGGCGATCCTGAGGATCCTCATGATGAACATTACCTGCTGGCCACACAGAGCAAGCAAGAACAGGTCCGTAGCAATTCTGCTAGAAGAAGAGGGAGTTTTGTCCCTGAAGGGAGAAATCTGTGCAGAGTTAATAGGCCATTGCAATCTTCCAGCACACTAACACTAATACAGCTTTTAGAATTATAGATGAACTGAAGTCTGAGTTTAAAATCTGGAAGATTGATTTCTCTATTCAGCAAACATTAATTTTCTGAATGCTAGTCCATACATTTAAAAGTTAATGACACTTTCCTTTTGGTGTGTATCATTTACTTAACATTATTTACTTCTGAATATTTTTTCCAGTAGTATTTTCATTAAAATCTCACCTATTATTACTTAATTTTGTGAAAGGTACGTGGCATAGCCAAAGAGCTGGATTCCTTTGTTGAAAGCAGATCCCCATAATACGATGTCTGGTACAGGGTCACAAATTAAAGTTTTTGACTACTAATGAAACAGCACCAGCTCATGATGGAGACTAGATTTTTCTAGTCTTTCTTCCTGCCCAGAGGCAAGCATGAAGTAGACAGATAGGATCTTTTTTTTTTTTTTTTTTTTTGAGACGGAGTCTCGCTCTTGTTACCCAGGCTGGAGTGCAATGGTGCGATCTCGGCTCACTGCAACCTCTGCCTCCTGGGTTCAGGCAATTCTCCTGCCTCAGCCTCCTGAGTAGCTGGGATTACAGGCACATGCCACCATGCCCAGCTAATTTTTTGTATTTTTAGTAGAGACGGGGTTTCACCATGTTGACCAGGATGGTCTCGATCTCTTGACCTCGTGATCCACCCGCCTCGGCCTCCCAAAGTGCTGGGATTACAGGCTTGAGCCACCGCGCCCGGCCCAGATAGGATCTTAAAGTAAGAATTCCTTAACAGTCATGGCCCATGAATCCCACTAGAATACTCCACTTAAAAACTCAGGGTATGGGGAAGAAAGTCTGTTTGCACTGGTATTTCACTTTTAAAATCTAACCAGTGATGATAAGGTTCTGAGAGCTACCCTGCCTACCAGAGACTGCTTTGGAATGGTCAGAGCATCGTCATCTGTGCACCGTCTCTCATTACTAAGTTACCTGGGAATGGGTGTGGGCAGTTATTGTATTGCAGTGGTGGCTTTTGTTTTATAGTAGCGCATAGTAGGAGGGTAGGGAGGAAATCTAACTAGACAACATCAACAGTGTTCTGTGGTAGTAATACTACCTACTTGGTTTTCCTTTTGATTTAAAGTCTGCAAAAGCTACTGCTGACCGAAAGTCTGCATCCAAGCCTATTGGATTTGAAGGGGATCTTCGTGGCCAGTCCTCTGATCTTCCAGAAAGACTCCATTGCCAGGATGTAGATTTAGGGTCCTCACAGGGAGACGGCCTGATGGCCGGCAACGATTCTGAGGAGGCCCTCACTGCACTGATGTCCAGGAAGACTGCCATCTCGCTGTTTGAAGGGAAAGCCCTGGGCCTGGATAAAGCTATCCTTCATAGCATAGACTGCTGTTGTAAGCACATCTGGGGAGACCGGGGGATAGCAGTGAAACAAGACACCAGTGAAATGAATTGGTTGAGTCTAGGATATACTTGTGCAGTGTAACACATTCATTGAAAAACGATCAAGCACCTACTTTGCTTGCATTGCCAGGTGTTAGGAATACATTAGTGAAGTAGAATGGGTTTATAGCCTAACGGAAGAGACCAAAATAAGTCACATTATTACACAAGTGTGAAATTACCACTGGCAGAATACTATTAAACAGTGCCCTTTAGTTCAACTTTGTAGCACCTGCCAGTGGTAATTTCACATTTGTCTAATAATTTGCAGAATTTTATATAGAAACTTTACTTACTAGGGGTTGGTATGGAAGGTGGGAGGCAGGGAAAACTTCCTTGAGGAAGGCACCCCTTGAGAGAGATGTCAGGGATGAAAGGGGGCAGTTAGCAGTCACAGATGGGGCAGAGGAAGAAGCCTGTGAAGACCAGTGTGGCTGAGAAGCAGGGTGTGGGATGAGGCTAGAGAAGCAGGTGAGCACCACTCACAGTAGACTTTGTAGGTCCCTTTAAAGATTTTGATCCTAATCCTACAAGTAGGATTGCAGTGGCATGGTAACACATCCACATTTGTGTTTTGCAGGGTTCCCCTGGCTGCAGTGTGGAGGGTGGGCTGGAGGGAGATCTTTGAGAAGGCTATTGCACTTCCCAAAGCAAGAGGTGGTGGCTTGGCCTAGAATTATGGATGTGGAAAAGAAGCATGGAGGATGTCACTGTCTTTTCAGCATCTGATGATACCAAAAAGAAGATGTACAGCTCCATCCTAGTGGTGGGAGGTGGTTTGATGTTTCATAAAGCTCAAGAATTTCTGCAGCACAGAATCCTCAATAAAATGCCACCGTCATTCAGGCGAATTATTGAAAATGTGGACGTGATCACAAGGCCTAAGGTAGATTGTTTCTTGGTGCATGTTGGACTGTGTGCAAAGGAAACCAGCCTCGTATGTGGACAGATCAAATCCTGGGAGGCACGGGCTTGTGTCTGAGGAGTTCTTGAGGGTTTAGGGCAAGTGGAAAAATTAATTTCAGCAAGCCATAGAAGTGGTGGAAAGAACTCTGGCCTAAGGTACTGGTTTTCTGCTCCTTTCCCTTGCCATGCTTCCCAACCTAGCATGACTGAATTAACACCTTTGTTGAAGGACCAGGTTGGGGTACGGGAGGACCGACTGCTCTCATGCCCTGCCAGCAAGCACAGCTCCATTTTAATCCTTTCTTTATATTAAGGATCTACTCCTGGCCCCTGGACCAGATAATCTTTAAATGTCTTTTTTGGTTTGAACTTCTTGAAAAGAAAGAGAAACCCAGGAATGGATAGATTATGTGTATGTTTTATTAAATCTCACTGACAATTCCTGGAAATGTTCATATTTCTTTCTAATCCTAAGGGAGGGATTGTGGTGTTCTATTTATTCCACTCAAACTTAGAAATAAGTCATTTCTCTATATTCCTGTTTACAGGACCTGGGTATTTGCGCAATAGTAGTAAATAGTAGCATCTTTAGTTATAAAAATTTAAAGGTTTTCTTGGCTATTGAAACAAAGATGCTTATAGTTCATAAGTCCTACTGTCTTTAAGATGTATTAGTAAGCCTGGTTTACTAAGTATTGACTCAACAGGAATTTTTCTTGGTCCCACATTCAAGTAAATGAGGCTGAAATGTCTTCATCCCTTCTCTAGGACATGGACCCCCGGCTGATTGCATGGAAAGGAGGGGCAGTGTTGGCTTGTTTGGATACAACACAGGAGCTGTGGATTTATCAGCGAGAGTGGCAGCGCTTTGGTGTCCGCATGTTACGAGAGCGGGCTGCTTTTGTGTGGTAAATGGGGAGGAAATGTCACCATCAAAGACCAAAAACAAGCTTTTTGGCATAAAAGACTTACAGAATATATGTTTTGTAATTTATTGATGTAGATGCTTAAGTGTCATGGATAGTAAATGAATTTCAACTTTATGTTGGGGACATGACATTGGTTTCAAATTATAAACTGCTTTTGAGCAGTTTAGTCAGGGCATTTGAGAATAAATAGGAACTCATTCTTCAGTTGTAAACTTGCTTGCCTTCTCTCAGGGTCTCATAAACTTCCCAGTGATGAGAAAGTTGCTATTGAAGGGTCTTAGGCGGTGAAGCCCTTCGTTTAAGTTGGCTCGTGAGTCTCATCAGCAGGCAGCCTCATGTGGATAGTTATCAGGGATAGTGTGTCATGAGGAGAACTGTCCTCTCATGCCATTTTCTCCCTTGTCTAGTCTTTCATTAGGATCTAATGTTGTCTGAGTTAAATGCACTTATAACGTGACTCGTGTCCTCTTAGAATCCCAAACAGGGGGAAAGAGTTTTGGTTGTTTTTGTTTTTTCTTCATTTTCTGTTGGATTAAAGAAAAAAATGGGACCCATTCAAGTCCAGATTTCCAAAGGTAAAGATTGTGTATTCCCTATTTTGTTATCTGAAAAACAATTATTTTTTTCCCATGTAACAGAAGGTTTTTCACCTAAGATGCTATTGAGTGAATCAGTGAGGTGTTCTTAGATTTAGTATTCATGAATTAAACATAGAATAAACAGTTCTGCCTACTGCTTTGCTATTGAAGGTTCTCATGTGGTGAAGCCCTTCATTTAAGTTGGCTTGTGAGTCTCATCAGTAGGTAGTAGCCTCATGCAACCACTGCATGATCCTACTGTAATGCATTGACAATGCAAAACGAGATGTTTGGCTGGAAGATACATTATTGCTGCATTATCAAAATGGTTATAGTTTTTAATTATAATTGTAATTGATTTCTATGTATAAAATTGATTTAGCTTTGAAGTTGTAAATGTAGTTTCAATTCTTTAGTTAATGCTACTAGTCAGTTAGCATAAGAATTGCTACTAGACAATTCTTTAGTTAATGCTAGTTAGCAATATTTGAAACAATTTTATTGGCATAAAATGTTTTAAGGCTATTTGTAGGCTGTAGAGTGAGCCTCAGGATCATCACAGACACTTTTTTTTCCCTGTAATTGGTGGGATAGGAAGCTTTTAAGGTCTCTTGCTTCTCATGGGTACACTACAAGGAGCAGCAGCCGTTGTAGCAGGCTTGTGATCTTTTTCCCATTGACACCTGCTTGACATGGAGAAGTTCTGCACAGAAAGCAGTGGTATCCTTCATGAGGTGGTACTTGGGGCAGACACTGAGAGCATCATAATCGTCTTTGGTATCAGTCTCTGTAAAGTAGACCACCACATATTTGTGCAGATGAGTCTGGCTTCTTAAATCACTGCAGAAAAGGTTAAAGGCAAGGGGGAAGAGGTCTTGAGAGTTTTCACTGGGGCTGCCCTCACTCTTGTCACAGGTACCATCACACACACTGTTGATGTCATTGGAAAGAAGGAAGATGACTTTGTCCACTGCCGCCTTTTGAGCGGCAAGCCACTGCACTGGACCCATCTCTGCTATTTTCTTTTTCTGCCACTTTTCAAGGATGACCTCACTTCTGCACTGGTTTTGAAGAAACTCAGTGAAGTGACAAACTGTGTGATGGAAACATATTTCAGATGGGTAAACCACGAGAACCTTAATGGGCGGCAGTAATGTGGTGGTGGAAAAGGAAGTCTTCTTGATCCTTTCTGTCGGGGGAGAAAAGCATTTGTTATCTGTGAACAGCAAACAGCAGGCTTTCACTCTGTGTAGACCATTCCTGACAAATGATCCCTTGCTTGACAATGTCAGCTGAGCACTAAGGGCCTTGTTAGTGACAGCAAGGAAAAACATCCTTAATGTTCCTTTTGAACACATCATTTGAAACACACTGATGCTTAAACCTTAACTTTTAAACCTTATTTTAAAAGAGGTATTTTCTAAGTCCCTCTCACTAAAACAATCCTCTCAACTAAGTCTTCTCTTGTCAAATAAATTCATAGAAACTTTAGGTTTAAGATACAGTGGCTCACACCAGTAATCCCAGCACTTTGGGAGGCCAAGGCTGGAAGATCACTTGAGCCCAGGAGCTCAAGACCAGCCTGGGCAACATGGTGAAACTTCGTCTCTACAAAAAGTACAAAAAGTAGCTGGGCATGGTGCCACATGCCTGTGGTCCCAGCTGCTCAGGAAGTTAAGGTGGGAGGATCACTTGAGCCTGGGAGGCAGGGGTTGCAGTGAGCCAAGATGATGCCATTGCACTCCAGCCTGGGCAACAGAATGAGACCCTGTCTCTAAATAAATAAACAAAAGATACTTTGTTTGTGGTGGGTGATTGTAACCACAGTACTTTAGTGCTGTATATGAACAGGGACACTTGACCTCTGCACTTCACATCACATTTTAAGTTGGGCCAATTCAATAGTTGCTTATGCCATCTTCTGCCTGCAGGTGGTAGAGTTTCTTTATAGTTCCCAAAGTTAAATGGCACCTCTTTTCAGACCCTGGAACTTACCTGGAATTCTGCCCTATATGGTGCTGTAAAACAGAAACCATGTTTGAAACTGCTGTAATGAATACAGGTAGGACGGCATCCCCTAAATTTAAGTATTCCTGAGATACAAGTGCCCCTGTGGCTTTCTTAGCTTAGAAAGAACATGGAGTTAATCTTGTTCTATTTACAACATCACAAACATCTCAAAGGATGCATTTATATTTCCTTTTCTATATATGGAGAAGTTTTTTTAATAGGTCTACCTCAAGCTGAGTATGTAAATGCTCTGGTTTCTGTATTCAAATACTCCATGTTTTAAACTTAGTACAGCTGACCCTTGAACAACACAGTGGGGAGGGGCACTGGCCCTGCATGCAGTTGAGAATCTTGTGTAACCTTTGATTTTCCCAAAATGTATCCTCTAATAGGCTACTGTTGACCAATAGCCTTACCATTCACATAAACAGCCCACTAACACATAATTTTGTGTGTTCTATGTATTATATGCTGTAGTGTGATAAAGTAAGCTAGAGAAAACGATGTAATTAAGAAAATCCTAAGGAGGAAAAAAGATATTTACTAATTCATTAAATGGAAGTATACCATCAGAAATGTCTTTATCCTTGTCATCTTCATGTTGAGAAGGCTGAGGAAGGGGTTAGCCTTGCTGACTTAGTGGTGGCAGAGGCAGAAGAAGTGGAAGAGGCAGCAGGAGAGTTGGGTGCCTCAGTGTAACTTTACAGAAATACATCATTTCTGACTTTTTTCCTTTTTCATTTTTCTAAAATTACTTGTATATGGTACCAGTCCTTCCGCCATCATTTGCTTTAGGTTTAATGTCTGTGTCATAGAAGGGTCTGTGTTATAAAAGAAGTGAAAAGCCATCTTGACTAATCAGAAACCTGCCAGGTTGTTTAATGTCTATTTGTTTTCTGGCACTGCTTCTGTGAAGTCTTCATCATCTCACACTGATTGGGAAGCACTCGTTTCCATCAGATTGTCTTCTCTTTGTTCTTCTGGTGTCATTATCTGTTAGCTCTTGAATTTCTCCAAGATCCACATCTTGAAACCCTTTACCTCCCACCTTTTTATTTGCCATATCTACAATCTCTTTCATGATTTCATTGATTGGCTCTGTTGTAAATCCTGTAAAGTCATGCACATCATCTGGACGGTCTTCTCCTGCAGGAATTTGTTGTTTCAGGCTGAATGGTTTTCATGGCTTGTTCTGTCACAATGATGGCATCTGCAGTGATGTAATCCTTCCAGACTTCCATGTTGTTCTCTCTGTTGGGGTTCTCTTCCATAGTGTTGACAATCCTTTCCATAAAGTACTGTGTGTAATGAGCCTTGAAGGTCCTTATGGCCTCCCAATCTGGAGGCCAAATTATGTTGCATTTGGAGGCAAGTAGACCACTCTGAAGACTTTGGTGCTGAACTCATGGGGTTCTGGCGGCCAGGGGCATTGTCCAATATCAAAGGAACTTTAAAAAGGCAGTTCCTTCTGGCAAGGTACTTCTGACTTCAGGAACAAAGCATCAATGGAACCAATTCAGAAAAAGTTTTCTCACTGTGCAGGCCTTCTTATTGTACAATCAAAAGATTGGCAACTGGTGTTTATCTTTTCCCTTCAAGGCCAGGGGATTAGCAGCTTTATAGATAAGGGCAGTCCTGATCATAAACCCAACTGCATTTGCACAAAGCAGTCCAGTTAGCTTGTCCCTTACTGCCTTAAATCCTGATGCATGCTTCTGTTCCTTACTAATCAGTGTCCTTTGTGGCATTTTTTCCCAGAAGAGAACACTTTCATCTGCACCGAAAACCTGCTGAGGCAGGTATCCTTTATCTTCAGTGATTTTCTTAATGGCATCTGGGAACTCATCTGCTGCTCGGTCAACAGAAGCTGCTACTCCTGTTATCTTGATAGTTTTTGAGCCAAATCACTTTTTTGAATTATCAAACCATCCTTTACTGGCATTAAAAATTCTCCAGCTTTAGATGCTTCACCTTCCTTTTGCTTTGTCATACACTGACTTCGCTTTATCTCAAATCATATTGGAGTCTACAGATACACCTTTCTTAGAGCAATCGTACACCCACATAAAAGATTAAAAGGTATTCTGCAAAAAGTGCAAGGTTTTCATGCCTGCTGGTGTAGCTGTAATGATGGCTTCATGAATTCTGTTTTCTTTTTTTACTGTGATCCTTATGCTGGATTCATTTATCTTGAAATGGTGAACCATCACAGCTGCAGACCTTCAATTTATGGTACATATCAAGCAATTTTGCTTTTTTTCTTATAACAAAAAGGTTTTTTTGGTTTTTTTTCTTCCATGGCTTTGCTTCTTGGGAGCACTTCCAGCATTATTTGTGGCCCTTCTTGTGGTTCCTAAGGTGTTACTAAAAGTTTACAATATTGCAGTAAACACAAAAAATACAAGAGAACCACTGGAGACCCAGCAGGACAGTACGCTCTACAGTTAATTTTATGCAGTTATGATTTAATACCACATCTTTTACGTTTGTTCACGTTTCTCTCAGCTGTGAGTGGTGCCGTGTATAGTTGGTATGTGTATGTTTAAGTTTTGATAAATTTTTAACTTTTAACAATCTGTGTTTATTTATGGTAGCAAATGTAAAGTAGACTAGTATCTGCATACATTTTCTGCATTTATGACATACCTTTTTCTTAGTTTTTTCAATATTTTTATTGAAAACTAAATTCAACTGAGTTTCATCTAAGTTTTTTCAAATTGTTAACGGATCTACAAAACATTTTCCAGTATATGTATTGAAAAAAATCCAAGTGTAAGTGGATCTGCGCAGTTCAAACCTGTGTTGTTCAAGGGTTAACTACATATGAATCCAAGTGAAGGTTTTTCTTACACCTCAGAAGAACTGTTTTTTAAAAAACAGGAACTAGTATAGAGTAACCATCACGGGTAAAGGGTAATTTTTGTCAGCCATCTTTTGCACTGACTGGTAGGTGACTCAATGGTAAAAATAAAAGCGGGACAGTCAGAAGATCTGGAAGTCCTGACTCTGCCTTCACCTGGCATGTGTAATCTAGTCATTCTCCTGTCAGTCTCCATAGAAGCACTTGAAGGTATTAAATAAATGCTGTCTAACTCTAGGAAATGCCAAAATATGACTGCCTCCAGAGGAATCTTCTTTAAAAAGAAAATTCAAAGTGTTATTTCCTTATTAGGATGTCTTTAAAGAATTATAACCCTTACCGTGCCTCCACATTAGATAGATCCCTGCCGCCAGCACCCATGTGGCCACCAGCAGAGATGGCAGGAGGAGAGGCAGCCAGCCTTCCAGGTTGCTTCTGTCTGGAGAAAACAAAGCTTATTCACTTTTGGAAAACAAATTCACTTATCTCCTACTTAAAAACTTAAGATTTTTTTTTTTTTTTTTGAGACAGTGTCTCATTCTGTCGCCCAGGCAGGAGTGCAGTGGCACGATCTCGGCTCACTGCAGCCTCTGCCTCTCAGGTTCAAACAATTCTGCCTCAGTCTCCTGAGTAGCTGGGATTACAGGCATGCGTCACCACACCCAGCCAGTTTGTAGGGGTTTAGATCCCTTTAAAACCAGTCAGAACCTCTTTAGAAAGTCTGCCAATCATATCTTTTTCCCTAGAGTGTGCAGGTCTGGCATTAGATTCTTAAAAGGGATATTAACCCAGAAAGTTAAGTACAGTCCTGAAATCTCTTTGGCTTCTTTATCCTAATAGGCACTGGCATTTTTACAGTAGGAACTAGGGTTTCTGTCCAGTTTTTTTGTTCTTTAAGGAATTAATGTTATTCTGAGTACAACTGCTTACATACGTAGCACATATAGATGGCATTTTTACAGGCTGTCTTGTTAGACATCCGTGGAGGATAATGCCACATGCCTCATCAGAACATCAGATAAGCTCAGGCACAACGTGCTCAAGAAGCCATGAGGTTTCGCCCACACACAGGTCAGGACTGCCAGGCACCTAGTTTGTCTTCACTTCATTTGGCTGAGTCTAATGACACCTTCCAACTTTTGATCCCACCCCAGGGCTAGTTGTGTAAACTGTATTTCTCCATCTGTAATGAAAAAGCTAGCACATCTCTAACTCCACAGACACTTTCCGGAACATGCCGTTCTCAGGCACTGGTGAGGGGTGTCTTTTGGTGCCATTATTCCTCATTTGTTATCCAGATGTTGGCCATGTGACCACATCAACAGAATCCTGGGACACTGAGACTAGTAAAAGAATCAGAATATAGTGAAATATGCATTTTTTTATATATCCAGTCATCTTACACCTTTGGCTGTTTTCAGCAGATCCTTGTCGCACTGAGAACATACACTGTGCACTGTATATTTTTTTTCCTTCTGTGTATCCTGCTTTGTGAAGAGTCATTAGTGGTTTTACAAATAAAGCCTGTTCTTACTCAGATTACAGGTTCTCTGGGACAGCACTGTTGGCTTTCTCTGCATGCCAGTTCAGTGTACACAGGCAGGGGCCCCTCGAACTGCCTACATACACACACCCTGCCACATGCTGAGTGGTGGCAGTGACTGCGTGTCCCAAACCCCTTCATCATCCGGTGGAAGTGACAGGGCACTTACTGTTATCCAGAGGGAAAGGGACGCCTGTCTGTGGGCAGAGCACCACCTTTCCTTTGTGTCGGATGCAGTCGGTGCCACAAGTAGGAAAATACGGAGTCAGCTAAGGAAAAACGAGAGGCTCAGAAAGTTCACACCATGCATCAGAGTAAAACCTCATCACAACTCCTACTTCTGCCAAAATTCCCTTCTTTCCGGCTTCACCCCTACCTCTAGCGTCGTCAATGCACCCTCCCCTTCGTCACACATCTATAACAAAGCCCTAATGTCAAAACCAGTGACCCAAAACCCACATGCCCACAACTCCCAGATTCTGAACCTAAACTTTGTACATGTTATTAACATACCGGTTCCCTTATCTAAAGGGCTAGGTCCTATCTTACCACATAGACAAACATTCCTCTAGAGAAAAGGAGCAGCAGTGATGGTGTTGGCTTCCTTCAGCCAATGCTTTAGGACCTGCAAGTCCCTGTAGTTAGGGAAGCCTATGGTTCCCCGGAAAAGCGGAGTAGGCATCATAGGCTGGCGCCTCTGGCGTGTCTGAGCACTTACATTCCAGGGAACGAAGCACGGAAGTTCCTTACTCTTTGGGGAGTGGCTGTGTACCACTGGACCTCCTGTATCCCCACCTCAAAAGCTGGAGTTGAAAGAGACCTGCTGCTCAAATTTCCTGTTTTCCAGCTGGGTCTGCTGCAGCAGAGAGGATGGGCAGCCCCTTTCCAAAGTTCACACACTTACTGGAACTCAAACCTTCCCATTTCAAACCCTTTGCGGCTTCGCCTTGCAGGTAAAGGTTTGGGGAAGTAAAAAGGTACTGCTATTCCTGAGTGTCTGTGACAGAAAATGGAAATAAAAAGTGCTTTGGAAGGTCAGCAGCCATTAATACAAGCAAAAGGGACCATGACTGCCACATTGGCCTCCTGACCTTGGCACTGCAGAGGCTGCAGCAAAGGAGACCCCATTAACGCCACTTAATTCATGTCTGTTGGCAGAAGTGCATTTGAACGGAGAGAACTCATCCTTAAAAGCAAAGAATGGTGGGAGTCTTCTATGTCCTTCCCTCCCCAGAACAGCTCACTGAAACCGTACCTGCACCACAGCGCCTTCACTTTCCCCGGTCACTGGAATCACCACTGAAGCTCGCGTTTGTTCGTTCTGGTATGGCTAAGAGAGACAGTCAAGAATTATGAGGTGCCGGGCGCAGTGGCTCACTCCTGTAATCCTAACACTTTGGGAGGCCGAGGCAGGCAGATGGCTTGAGCCCAGGAGTTCCACACCCAGCCTGGGCAACATGGTGAAACCCTATCTCTACGAAAAATGAAAAAATTAGCTCAGCATGATGGCACGTGCCTGTGGTCCCAGCTGGAGGCTGAGGTGGGAAGATCACTTGAGCCTGGGAGATAAGAGGCTGCAATGAGCTGTGACAGTGCCACTGCATTCCAGCCTGGGCGACAGAGTGAGACCATGTGTTAACCCCCTCAAAAAAGAATTGGGAGGAACATGAGTGAGTAGGTCCAACCTTCCAGCAAAGCAGCTTTGCTTCCCAAACGGACTCTATCCACTAGACTGTGTGAAGAAGGGCTCAGTTCCTGCTTCAGAGACTTCTTTCTTTCTGTGGTTTGAGGGTCACAGTGGCATCTCTCAGGATGCCCACAGGGACTTGTTTTGATCTGTTGAATTCATCAGAATAGCCCAGCATGTTGGGACAACATCGTCCCCATTTTCTGTCAATGCACTAAGGAAAGCTGGAGGGCGGGGTGAAGGGGATGAAGAGAGAAAGTACCTCTAACACCTGAGAAAACCCAATGACGGTGCTGTGTTGGATAAGAGCCATGTATCTGTTTCCAAGGGGGCTGGTTGTGAAGTTCACTTCTACTGTCTCATTCTTCTTACAAGCAGTGATGTTCGGAGCCCACAGGCTTCCTATGAGTTGAGAGAGAACCATGTGGATGAACTTGCCAACTCTTACCTCAAGTTCTCCACAGGGCTTTATAGAAACAAATCCAAGTTCTCGGGAACAATGTCCAAGAGACAGGGACGCTGCTACACAGTGAACTTTTTATCATTGTTTCCAGGTCTCAAAGTAGTTGCTGCCCAAGACAGTTTGGGGATCTGCCCATCAACGCTTTGCTAAAAACAGCTTCCCTGGGCTGAGGGTGGTGGGAGGCACAGATTGGTTCTGCTACTCACTGCCGTTCTCAACCTCTCTTTGGAGTTAAGGGATAGATCATTATTTTCTCCCTCCTAGGAAGGGGAGAAGGAGCCACGGGTTAGAAAACGTCTAAGATTATAGAGCATGTGAATTCACGATCAGGACTACAACGACTAGAATATTCTGTGTTCCAGAAGCTTCATCCATCAGACCATTCTGCCAGCTTCACTAGATGGAAAGAAAGAAGGAAATGGCTTGTAGTTTAAAGGATATACCCTGATAGGTCCACTCTGGCAGAAATAGTCAGTTGTTTCATTCATGTGACTTGCAAATAAGGACTAGATTGATTTCCAGGAACACAATGTAAACAGCAGAAATTATCTTCCCCACCGAGGAGACCATTTCAGGCCCTAGCTCAGAACTGTCGTTAGGAGTTCAGGCCCAGGGATGACTCAGGGCCCTCTGACCTCACACCTGCGGTGTCCTCTGTACCCTCGGTGGGAAGCTCAGCATCCAAATCCGCCTTCTAGCAAGGACAGCATGCACAGCTGTCTGATGACGTACCAGGGATGCTTTCTGGGGTGAAGGTTGTCTAAAAGTTCTGGACTGATCCAAATACCACTAGCCTCATTAGCATTCCAACACTATATTACTCAGAAATTTACACAAACCCTTGGAAATTAGGCACTAGGGACTGATGATCCTAAAGGGGCTTATTAGAAAATTCAAGGGGTAAAATTCACTGGCCTGTGAAAAGCGATCCTCTTTGAGGACACAAGTTGAGAGCATACTTCTGGGCCAGTCCTTTAGCAAACTGACACTCCCACCTTGAATGTTTGCTAATCCAAACAGAAGGTTCGTACGGTCCCCATGGCCATAGGTGGGTGGTGCTGGTGTCTAAGCAGGTGGAAGGGCTCATAGGACTCCCATCCATCAGGAAGAGCCTTTGATTGGCACCACTGAGCCATTTGGGCTAAAATGTTGTTAACCAAGGCGGTAGGGGTGGTTCTCTGGGACTGTTGCTCCGCTATGTAAATGTACTGAGGGTCTGTCCCTTCCTGGACAGGCTGCTCCACTCAGTGGGCAACGTGCTGGCAGGAGATGAGGAGCTCTAGGTGCTTCTGCCGCCACCATCAGGGTGACTTGGATATGTGACTCTCCCCTCGGCCTCAGTTTTTTCATCTGTGCAAAGATGAAGAGACCTATGCTGCCTCAAGTTACATGTTTCTTCAAATAATAAAAGCAAATGCTGTATTTACTTACCAGCCTTGACACACTTCTTTTTATATTTCATTATGTGGTCTAAGCAGCCTGGAAATTTGAATGAAAGTTTTTACATTTTAGAAAAAGGTATCTCTGCCCCACCCCCCTTGCCAAAAAGTACATACACACATACACATACCACACCTGTAACAAACTGCCAAAACATTCCAGATGTAAGATAGCAAATTCAAATGTGGCTCTAACATTTTACTGTTAAACAGAAGATCATCCTCCCATGACGTGGTAACCGAAGTCTAATTTAAATACAGCCTTTATTGAAACCGTATCTTTGATACCTAAGAGAAAACTTGAAAACCATCTACCATTTGAAAATGACCTTTGGTAATATCTGTAGACACTGCCTGCCCCTTCTAGGTGTGAATCCTAATACTTCCATACCTTCACTTCAGGGTGGGGTAGAATTAGTGACTTGTTTCCAAAAACAAGAGTTGGGAAAAACAGTAGATTTACATGGAGAAGGCTGGCAGGCACCACATTATTCTAGTGTTGAGGTGACCCTCACCTGGTGTCATCTGGGTGCCATACACCCCTCATGGGATGCAGTAAGAAGGGCACCTCTGTGGTATGAATTCCCAGTCTAATCATGAGACAAACATCAGACAAACCCAAACTGGGGGACATTCTACAGGATGCCTGGCCAGAACTCAAGACTGTCAAGGTCCTGAAAAACAAAGACTAAAAAACTTACAGACCAGAGCAGACTAAGGCTACACAAAGGACTAGATGCAACTGGAACAGAAAGAGGACATTTATAAAAAAGCAGGTGAAATCCAAATAAAGTCTGGAGTTTAGTTAACAGACATGTACTAATGTTGGTCTCTGAGTTTTGACAAATACATCATGGTAATATAAGACGTTAACAATAGGAGAAGCTGGGTGAGAGCTATATGGAAACTCTTTATACTATCTTTGCAACTTTTCTAAAAATCTAAAATTATTCCAACATAAGGCCAGGTGCGGTGGCTCATGTCTGTAATCCTAGCAGTTTGGGAGGCCGAGGTGGGTGAATCACCCAAGGTCAGGAGTTCAAGACTAGCCTGGCCAATATGGTGAAACTCCATCTCTACTAAAATACAAAACTTAGCCAGGTGTGGTGGTGCATGCCTGTAGTCCCAGGTACTCAGGAGGCTGAGGCAGCAAAATTGCTTGAACCCAGGAGGCAGAGGTTGCAATGAGCCAAGATGGTGCCATTTCACTCCATCCTGGGCAACAAGATCGAAACAACTTTTTTTTTTTTAATGTAAATAAAATAATTCCAAAATAAAAAAGCTTATTTAAAAACAAAATGAGGTTTGGTCTCATCAAGAAAGCTGGAAACCATGCGTAATAAATGGTGCAGCACCAAAAACACCCTGGACCACAATCCCCAAGACCAGCCGTGAACTGGAAATTACCTGTTCGGCTTTGACACCTTGTCTGTGGCAGATGACAGGATGGGGATATGGCATGAGTGACTCAGCTCGAATGGACCCTTCACACACACCATCCTGTCTCTCCTCATCACAGCCCTGTGTGTGACATTGTACTAGAGAACTGGACCTGTGTCACAGAGCTGGGGCAAGAGCCCAGCATACAACTCAGGACCACCCTGCCTCTCATGGACAGCTTGGGGACAAGCCGACTGGAGGCTGTAGATCCTCAGAGGCCTAGTCACAGGCAGCCCACTCGAGAAAGCTGAGATTGGAATGAACAAACATTTTGCATCAGTGATATAAAGAGTGGCTCAAGTGCATTGCTCTAGAAGGACCAGAGTGTCAATGTCAGCTTCACTTTTACTGTGTGTATAATCCAGGGAAAGTGACGTAACTTGTTAGTTTCTTCATGTAAAAAATGCAGCTATCTCAACCTTGGGGTTGTTGGGATGCTTAAGTGACAGGATGCATGTCAAGGATTCAGCACAGTGCTCAGCACACAGGAACAGGCTTTTTCCTACATTTCACCTGACTTTATCCTCTCTGCTCTGTGGGTAAAGCATGGTTACTACTATGTCCATGCTATAGGTAAGGGAACTGAGATTTGGCAAGGTCAAAAGCCTTATCCAAGGTTCCCTGGGCTCTCTCTGTACCTATCCCAAAGTAGGCATCCCAGCAAGACAAAGAATAAACGAGTGAGGAAGTTTACCTGGTGAGGTGAAATTCACAGACATGGAAGGGCCATCTTCATTCATATTTGCATTAGGAATATTATGGGCTCCAATGAAATAGACTGTGTTCAGCTCCACAGGGAAGCCTATGTAGGAAAATGTCCACTGAAAGGCAAAGCAAGGAACTCTCAATTCCCAAAACACTGCAATACAGAAACAGTATACTTTTGTGTGTTGTCCTTTTACTTTGTGTTTCATTACTTATTCTGTGAGAACTTAGGTCTCCGGCCAATGTCCACTCAGGAAATGGGCACCACACAATTTATAGAATCAGAGAAGTGTAAAGTTTTAAAGCCAGCATATCATTGAGGTCCAGTTCTCTTCCCTTTGCTGGTAGGAAAAAACTGAGGCCCAGAGATGCTGACTTACCAAAGGCACAAAATAGAGAAGTAGCTAAAAACGGGACTGGAACTCAGGCATCTTTCTCCAAGCTCTGAGTCATAACTGTTTTCCAGCCTGTGTGAGCAGCACATCATCCATGCTCCCCAAAGGGCCTAGCTTTCAGCAGCAATTAGCCAAATGCATAGAAGATGCCTACGGCTGGGCACAGTGGCTCATACCTATAATCCCAGCACTTTGGGAGGCTGAGGCAGGCAGATTGCTTGAGCCCAGGAATTCAAGACCAGCAACATGATGAAACCCTATCTCTACAAAAACTATAAAACTTAGCCAGGCCTGGTGACTCATGCCTGTATTCCCAGCTACTTGGAGGCTGAGGTAGGAGGATCGCTTGAGCCTAGGAGGCTGAGGTTGCAGTGAGCCATGAACGCACCACTGCACTCCAGCCTGGGTGATAGAACAAGACTATCTCTAAAAACAAAACAAAACAAAATGAAAACCCAAAAAAGTGCTTACTTTGCCGCCAGAGGGTCTGGTCTGAGTCTGGAAGGCCTCTGTGTAATTGCACCTCACACAGCTGTAGGACTGGAAGTTGCTTTTGCCCGTCACACATATCTTGGTGGCCTTCAACAAGCGGATGCTGGCTGCCGAGATGGGCAAGAGGGCATTAGTTTATTTAGCACTTGCTAGGTGGCTGACTTGATGCTAGATGCTTTACTAGCACGCTTTACTTTATGTCTCAGTTCATATTAACAGCACTGAAAGGTAGGCACCACTGTCTGCAGTTTACAGATGGGGATCTTGAGGCTTAGGGGAGTTTCAGGGAGCTCTGCTTAAACTAATAAAGCTCACCAGCAGCAGATTCAGATTCTAAAGCCCAAGCTCCCTCCTCCTCACAGGTCATCCTGAATTTCACAGGATGCCTGCAAAGATGTCTGGGTCTCTTTTAAGACGAACAGGCTGGCCTCCGGGAAGCCCACAAAGACCCTCCAAGACTGTCATCACCAAACCACGTCTGTTCCGACTGCACCTTTATCCATGCTGATTCCTCTTCCTGGAAGGTCGTTTCCTCCCATTCCCTACCTCTTCAAGTCTCACTCCTTTAAAGTCCAATTCACTCATGCACCACAGCTGGTAACCACAGCTGACAAAGAGCTCACTGTGCCAGGTAAGGCCCCAAACTCTTATAGCTCCATCTCACCTAAAACAGCCTCACAGGGCCCCTTTCCCACTCCTCCCACCATATCCCACTCAGATGCAGCACAGCTCCTTTCTGGGACTCCCCTGAGACTGTGCCTGTGTCTGCCTCCCCTACCCCTCTGAATCCTCCCAGGTGGAGACTGTAGGTGACTCGCTGTGCCTGCCACTCATGGATTCTTGACTGAACAGACTTTTTACCGATCTGAATTTAGCAGATGGAAATCCAAAGGATGGGTATTAGGATCCCAGGAATAGCTCACTGAAAGAACTCACATGGTACCTTGCAGCATAATCTTGGGGAAATGCCAGAAGTTTCATGACATCATCTGGGAAGTGAAGAAGTAATCTACCTAAGCCAATGCTTTCCCTAAACCATAGTGGGGTGGGAGAAATCATCTCTGGCGTTAGCTTATCTTCTTCCATGGAGTACATATACAGAAAAGTACACAGATCATAAGTGTACCACTTGATGTGTCGGCACACTCACTTGACCAGTATGCAGGTTAAGAAATCCCCCAAGTGTGCCCCCCGAACTTCCCTTCAGTCACTCCTATTTCAACAGGAACTACTATCCTGACTTATTTTTTTTTCTTTATTTTTACTTGCTGACTCTGCATATCTTTTCAAACAGACTTTTTTTTTTCTTTTTCTTCGTTGTTTTTTTTTTTTTTTGAGACAAAGTCACTCTGTCACCCTGGCTGGAGTGCAGTGGCATGATCTCAGCTGATTTCAACCTCCATGTCCCAGGTTCAAGTGATTTTCCTGCCTCAGCCTCCTCAGTAGCTGGGATTACAGGTGTGTACCACTATGCCTGGCTAATTTTTGTACTTTTATTAGAGTTTTAACATGTCGGCGGGGCTAATCTTGAACTCCTGACCTCAAGTGGTCCGTCTACCTAAGCCTCCCAAAGTGTTGAAATTACAGGTGAGAGCCACCGTGCCAAGCCTTTTTTTTTTTTAAAGACAAGAGTTTCACTCTGTTGCCCAGGCTGCTGGAGTGGAATGGCGTGATCTCAGCTCACTGCAACCTCTGCCTCCTGGGTTCAAGCAATTTCTTGTGCCTCTGTCTCCTGAGTAGCTGGGATTAAAGGCACTCACCACCATGCCTGGCTAATTTTTGTATTTTTAGTTCAGATGGGGTTTCACCATGTTGGCCAGGCTGGTCTTGAATGCCTAGCCTCAAGCAACTCACCCACCTTGGCCTCTCAAAGTGCTGGGAATACAGGCATGAGCCATTGCACTCCACCACTACCCTGACTTCTAACCAATGGATTGGTTTTGCCTGTTTTGCACTTTCTGTAAATGGGATCATATGGCATGTATGCCTACAGGCATGCATACAGATATAAATGTACAAACTCTTTTGAATCTGCCTTCTTATGTTTGCAAGATCCTCATCCATATTGTTGTCTGTAGTTGTAGATCATTCATTCTTGCTGCTGTAAGGGAATTTATTTGGTGATTTCTTTCTACTGCTGGGCATTTGAGTGCTTCCTAATGTTGTCTGTGATGAGTAGTGTCACTAAGATCATCCTAGTATGTGACTTTTGGTGCATGCATGTATGTATTTCTGTTGGTTACGCCTAGGAGTGGAATTAATGGTTCAAACAGTCTGCACATTTCTGGTTTAGTAGACACTTTCGGCCTTATCTTTGATGGATGCAAACTTACCATCTGCCCGGAGTACCCAGCTTATATTCATCAAAATTGAATAGTCCCCTGTTGCAACATTCGTTTTAACAGTTTCCACTTGGAGGTCCTTCAAGTCTCCAGGGGTTAGATCATGTTGTAGCATCCACTCTGGAGATGGCCCTGGGAAAAGGCAAGACTTCCAGGACGCTCTCCTTCCCGGCCCAGTCTGATGCCATCTCCTCTCAGTGACCCACCCCAAACCTTCCCCCATTCACAATTCCTCACTTCTTTCTTATTTTAAATTTTGTAGAGATGGGGTCTCACTCTGTTGCCTAAGCTGGTCTCAAACTCCTGGTCTCAAATGATCCTCTTGCCTCAGCATCCCAAAGTGTTGGGATTATACGTGTGAGCTACCACGTCCAACAATTCCTCACTTCTTCCTGCTAAGGCCAAATGTTTCTTAGTACTGGCTGATTTATATTAGAGACAATGTTGATTTAAGACAATCAATGTTGATTTAACCACCTGGCCTCCACCTGCAGAGCACTTAGGACCACTCCAGGTGCTCGTGTATATACATAGGTATATATATTTAGTGCACTTGACATGTTTATCAGAGTCAGCCCTGTCTTCCTCATGCCTCGGCCCTGGACTCCAGCCAGCTGTCCCACACAACCCCCTTTCCCACCTCCTAACCTTTGCTGGTGCCATCTCTCTTCCAGCTCACTTTCCCTACCCACATTTTTTGGGCAGAAGCCTACCTATTCTTCAAATACCATCATCTCAAACACCTGCTCTTCTTTGAAACGTTTGCTTCTTGATCCCAACTCTAAATGACCTTCTTCCCACGGCCTCTGTCTCCCTCTGCAGAGTGGCAGGCATCACTTTCCACCTTGTAAGGTAAGCCCCACCCTGACTGGACAGGAGGCCAGTCTGTCTGAAACACTCTTCTTTCCCCCAGACCCCCAGAGTTCTGCCTTGAGCAGACAGAGACTTCATTTGCATCAGCCAACAAAGCAATGGTTCACCCTGTGCCTGGTCTCTGAGAACCTATTGCCTGTATTTAGGCATCCTAAAAGTCCAACTGTGCTTTCAACGTAAAGCTCCAAATACCCATTCTCTAATGCACCTACCAGTTTCAGAGCCACACTGAATGGTCTGTGGGAGGGAAAAAAAAAACGAGCGTCATGTTGAAGCCATCAAACCACAAGCTTTCCTTTGCCAAATTAGGCAGAACACCATTTTTCCCTTAAATGCATACACAAGTGACAAACTTTCAAAGAAAAGATGAACTGGTTCTGCTTCACAGCTTAGAGGGAAATAAGCTGCCCACTGTAGGCTATGATGGACCATGGATTAGCCTTCAGTATACCTGATCCTCAAGCCGATGCATAACCTCACTAAAAGACCAGAGGTGGGTCTCCACCCCTCTCTGGGTGTCAGCCTTCCCTGCTGCAAGCAGGGGATGACTCAAGACTGATGTGAGGCACCTTTACACTCTAATGTTTAACGATAGGTTTTTAGGATGGCCTGGAGTATTTACTGGGTTTCTCCAGGTTAAGGAGTAGCTACGCTAAAGAGATAAACAAAAGAAAGCTTTGAATTCAGTCACAAGGTACTTCCCTCAGGTTCTTTAAAATATTCCCCTTCTAACACAGAAGGACTCACTGAGCAATTTAGGAAACCATAAGCAACCGTGATTGCACCATATTATCTTTTTAAAAGAGCTGTCAAAAACTAAGTAGTATTATTAGTGTTCAAGAAAGGCTAATATTAAATCTTTTGAAATTAACTGCTTGTGTTTTTTCATAAGAAAAGATAATTTGTGCTTTGGTTCTGGAATAAAATACTGAACCTAAAATATTGAGCCTTTAGGCAGCAGCAAGTTCAAATGACAAGATCAAAGTGATATGTCCAGCAGCCCTGTAATCTGACCCTGCTGGGCATCCACATTTCCAAACACCGTCTAAGACCTCCTTTGAATGGTTTGAGTGATTTGAGTTTAGGCAAAATTGTCAATCATTTGTCTTTTAAAAAAAATGAACTCTAAGGGATAGCATCAGACTTTTTTCTTTCTTTCTTTCTTTTTTTTTCTTTTTTTTTTTTTTTGAGACAGAGTCTCGCTCTGTGGCCCAGACTGGAGTGCAGTGGTGCCATCTCGGCTCACTGTAACCTCTGCCTCCTGAGTTCAAGTGATTCTCCTGCCTCAGTCTCCTGAGTAGCTGGGATTACAGGTGCCCACCACCCTGCCTGGCTACTTTTTGTATTTTTAGTAGAGATGGGTTTTCACCCTGTTAGCCAGGCTGGTCTCAAATTCCTGAGCTCAGGTGATTGATCCACCGGCCTCGGCCTCCCAAAGTGTTGGGATTACAGGTGTGAGCCACTGTGCCCAACCAGACTTTTCTTTTTTCTTTCTTTCTTTCTTTTTTTTTTTTTTTTTAATAAGCCATCATACCAGGAGCTGAGTTCTTATCAAAGGGCTAGTGAGACAAGCCAAGCAACAACCCTAAATGCTACCAAGCTCAAATTGTTGGCCTTGTAGCAACTACAGCAAAAGGAATGAATTCTTCCCTCCAGTGCAAAAAGCCAAGGGAGCCTCTGAACTGACACAGAGGGGAAGGATAGGAGCTGAAGACATCAGGAAACAGTGAATGGAGTTTGTCCACTAACAGGTAACTACCGAGCTTGATGCTATATGCTGTGCTAAGAGGGCAGGGGTATCATTTCAAAGGTTATTTCGGGGATGAGCTATTTTCTCTTCAGTGACCTAGAAGATTCCCTGTCATTCAGGGCACTGGGGAAGAAAGGAAACTGCCTTCACGAATAAAGAGGGCCATCCACATGGCCAAAAAGGGAGGGAACGCTAGTGGAGAAAGTTCTTGTGCCCCAACAGGTGAGCAGACCCCAAGTAACAGTAACGAGTGCCGACTACGTGCCAGGCCCCTTGCCGGCGTCCTTCCTTAAGAGACCCTGGTGGGCTTGGTACTGCCCTTGGTTTTACCGTTCAGGACTTGGAGCTCGGTGAGCATAAATTACAGAACCAACAGTACAGGGTGGCATCTGACGCCAGGTCTGCCTGATTCCCACGCCCCTGACTCAAGCAGCCTGACGCCGGCCGACGTCGGGGGCTGCCCAGAGGGTACAGGAGTGCCCCTCTAGCCGACGGTCCGCGCACTCTTTCGGGACAGCCTCGGCACGCGAGTCAGACGACGTCAGGATCTGGGCTCCAGGGCTAGGAGACGCGGGAACGGGTGCTGGCGGGGGCTTACCGGCTCTCGGGGTACGGCGCTCCTGCACAGGGCGGCCAGGCTCAGCAGGACGAGCGACATCGCGGGGACACCGCGCGGGACCCCGGCCGGCCGCACGCTGCGCTCTTATCCCAGCGCCCCGGGGCCGCCCCTTCTTGGCTCCGCCTCTCGCAGCACCGGCCCAGCCCCGCCACCCGGACAGAGGGCGGGCCCGCCGGCCCCTGCCCGCAGGGGTCGGAGGGGTGGGCCGTCTCCGCTTAGGCGGAGCTCGGGGAGCCGTGGCGCGCGCCGGCCCCCGCGCACACGTGCGTGCAGTGAGCCAGGTGTCTCGCCGCCCCAGCCCTCGGGCCGCGCGCTCCCCGCCCGAGCCTGGCTAGCCTGGCGTCCCGGTTGCAGCCCCGGGGCAGACCGGGCGGGAACGGCCGCGTCCCCCTTCCGGACGCGGAGAGCGCGCGGGGCGCCGACGCCGCCGGTTAAAGTGCCGAGGAGCAGGGGCCGGGCCGGGCCGCCCGCTCCGGGCCTCGACTGTCGGGCCCTCGGCCGAGCCGCCCTGGGTGAGTAGCCGCGGATGCGCCACGACCACCGCCGAACCGGTCACCAGCGGCGCCGCCATGCCGGCAGTCCGGAGAGGCCTGGGGGCCCGAGGCCAGGCTGGACGCGGAGACCTGGGCTCGCTTTACACAACTGCCCCGTCCCGCGTAGCGAAAGGGGTGGACCCGGGGCTGCGGAAGCTCACGGACTCCTTGGAGAGAGCGAGTCCTTTCAGCTACGCGGTATTGGAGCGGTAGGAATGCCCAGCGCCGACCCCAGGCTTTCCGGTGAATGTCTGTTTCCACCAAGTGAGTTCGGACAGTAGCACCTGGGGCTCCCGGAGCGGAAGCCGTCAGCACTGGCGACTTGGAGCTGCGGTTCTCAAGTTTCCCTGGCCCGGGATCTCTGAGCGCCACCTAAAATGAAATCCGGACGGCGGGTCCGAGTCAGGCCTGGGATCTGCATTTAAGCAACCTCAACCCAAGCCCCCGTAATTCGTGGGTGGGTGGCCCCGGGACCATTCTTTGAGACGCAGTGGTTTGGGGGAGAGTTCACAAAGATCAGCTGGGTAACAGTGGAGTCAGAGGCTGGACTGCTTCTTCATCCCCCTCGGTTTACAAACGACAGAGTTGTGGTGACCAACTCGGCCATTTAAACTTGTAGGTGGAATTCGCTCCATTCTACAGATGGGAAGACGGAGGCCTAGAGAGGGGTATGGAACTTAGGGATGTGTTGTCAGCTGGTGAGAGGTTGTGCTGAGTGAAGCAGCTGTTTTAGCTGAGGCCTTACTTGTGTGTCAGGCCTGGCCCACCTACCAGCTTGGTTAGGGCTTGCGTGGAGTGGGGATGAGCCAGGGGTTTGGGCTCTGGCGTGCATACGTGTGGAGCTGCAGGTAGCGTTCTCAGAGAATTGCTCTGGTTCCTGACCAGGGAACTCAGTTGAGGTTGTGGCCTCACCCCTGCCTGGGGCTGGGCCACCCTGAGCCCCTCATTCCACCTCTGAGTTGCTTTGGGTCCTGTGGCCCCTGAGAAGATTTTCAGCTCTAATAGTCATCTTCCTGTACACCTACCTGCTGGGTGCCAGGTGCAAAGGTGAACGACACATAGGTGCTGGCTCAGGAGTATTCCTGGAGTGAGGAGGAGCTCCGTGAATATCCAAGGACACAAGTGCCCGCCCTGCTGCGGAAGCCCAGATGAAAACAGCCTCGTCTGCAAGCTCAAGACTGTGAACTTTGTCCCGTAGTGCTGAGGGCCAGTGCTATGGGCTTAGATGGTGGTCAGTTTTCAGTTTTAGAAAACTGCCCCTGCAGGGCAGGTAGAGGGCTAGTCCTTCATTCCGTATCTGATTCTGTGCTGTCGGCCGGGCTCCACGCTGTGCTGGCTTTTCAGCTGTGCACCAGGGCTGGCCCTGCTTCGGTGAGCTTGGTACTGATGGGCACATGGGCTTTGAGACAACTAGGGATGCAGAGGTTAGGCCTGGAGACCGGGTTTGTGAGTCAGACTTTCTTAGGGATTAGTGGAGAGGAGAGGAGGATGGAGCCCTGGGGAGGAGAGCTTGCCAGAGGAGGTGGGGAGATCTGGGAGGGGCTGCAGCAAGAAAGCCTAGTAGTGAGGGAGGAGCTTGTGGGATCAGCTGAGGCCGAGAGACCAAGGGCACTGGCCTGAGGCTGGTTGGTGCTGTTCTGGCTTCAGAATGACACTGCCCTGGCCCTGGGGCTTAGGGATGGGTGGTACCCGGCTGTGAAGTAGGGGTGGGAGGCGAGGGTTTGAAGGGCCCTGAAGCCACAGCTGGAGGTTGAAGTGGACAAACAGGGTGTGTCTGCCTGTCCCCTTGGGGGATTTTCTCCCTGCAGAAGGCCATGCCTCAAGTGGCCTTCCATGAGAGGTCCCAGGTGGCCTGCCGGAAGGGACACGATTTGTTTGGCTGCCTAAGCCAGATAACTTTGTGGTGTTTTGAACTGGAGGCCCTGGCAAGTCACTGCTCTTCTCAGAACAGTCTCCTTTTCTGTACAATGGGGTGGTGATAGGGGCAATGAAGTGATTTGAGTCTATGAGAGAATCGACCTTTGGAGATTTTCTGACTTTCTCCTTTCAGTCATAAATTCTGCTAGGTCTGGGTTTCTGAAAGAGCTACCCCACAGTGTGCCTTCCTATCTGGGGGATTAGTAAGTGCTCATTAACAGCTTGAATGGATGAATAAATTAACACATACCTTCCTCCAAGGCCAGTGCCTGAGCCTGCCCACCCAGGGCAGGTGATTTGAACTTCCTCCTCTTTCTTCACAAGCAGAGCGAAGGTCAGGGCCTCTGCCAGAGCCTGGAAAACCACTGTGTCAAGCCCTCTTGGCTCTGACCCAGACCCTCGGGACAGGCTCTGTGCAGCCACGGCATGGTGAGATGCCTGACTTCCAGACCACCTGGTTCTGCAACTCAGTCACCATCTGTTGGCCTTGAGTGAGGCTCTTGATCTTCAGCCTCAGTTTCTCCATCTGTAACATGGGCTGACATCAGTTCTGCCTCCCCAGCAGGGCGGTTAGGAAACTCAGAAGAAGCAGTAGATAGGAAAGCAAGTTGAAGGATTTACCAGTGCTGTGTAAATTTAGGGGCAGGAGAGGCAGAACCAAAAAAAAAAAAAAAAAAAAGAAAGAAAGAAAAAGAAAAAGAGGGAAATTCCCTACGATCCAGGAATCACCGTCATTCCAGTTTCAGTCATTGTTATTCAGACCTTTGCTTCTTGGCCTGATCCATCCCTGGAAGAAAATGGCCATCAGGGTTGTTGACATGTCCCGCGGGTCCAGTCTCCACCCACACAGGTGGAATTTTCCACTTCATTCTTTTGCAAATATTAATCAAGGCCCTGGCTGGTCAACAGTGGATTCATTGTCTCGTGGAGAGTGAGCCATTTCTGGCACCTACTGGCTGTCTCTCAGGGCCCCCGGTGGTGAGTCTGAGCTGGGAGGGGAGCTGTCGGGAGCGCGCCTGGCCTCAGCGCTCCCTCAACCCTATGTTCTCCATCTGGTTAAGTTTGGCGGGGTCACCTTTAATCCCTGCTTCTAGGGAGAGACCCTGAAGCCACACTGAGGGCTTGCACCCCACTGTTCCCAGCAGGGCTATAAAACTGCATTTTCTCTGTCCCAGTAGGAGGGGCTGGCCCAGGAAAACCCACAGACTCAGGCCAGGTGTTAACTCATCCTTAATACCACTCCTACTGATTCCTGTGAGGTCACATACATGTATCCTGTTCATGGCTGTGGACCCCGTGCCTTGTCTCCTAGGAACTTGCAGTGATTTTCACATTGTTATCACACTGGGGCTGGAAGAAAGCCTCGAATGCAGAGGACCCAGGTACTATTGTCTTCCTCTCAAAGCTCCATCTGTAAACAGGAGCCATGGGGTTAGCCTCGCAGAGCTGCAGGGAGGACCACCCTGTCACCCTATGGTGGGCCCTACATTGGGCACATGCAACAGGGTTGGTGGTATGTTTTTTGATATATGATACTTGAATTTATTTGTTGTTAATAATATCACTGGTCATAGATATAGCATCGTATTCCACACTTTATGGAGGAAGAAATGGAATGAGTGAGGCTATGTCAGAAGAGGGAGGATGAAACTCAGGCCATACTGTAAACTTGATAAAATCACCATGTAGTTTTAGCTTCACACTTTTCTTTCCTTTTTTTGACACTGTGTAGTTTTGTGGCCAAGGCTGGAGTGCAGTGGTGCAGTCTTAGCTCACTAAGCTCAAGCGACTCTTCTGCCTCAGCCTCCCAAGTAGCTAGGACTGCAGGTGTGCACCACCATGCCAGGCTAATTTTTTTGTTTTTTTATTTTTTTTTATTTTTTATTTTTTATTTTTTTTTATTTTTATTTTTTGAGACTTGAGTTTCGCTCTCGTTACCCAGACTGGAGTGCAATGGCGCGATCTCGGCTCACCGCAACCTCCGCCTCCTGGGTTCAGGCAATTCTCCTGCCTCAGCCTCCTGAGTAGCTGGGATTACAGGCACGTGCCACCATGCCCAGCTAATTTTTTGTATTTTTAGTAGAGACAGGGTTTCACCATGTTGACCAGGATGGTCTCGATCTCTTGACCTTGTGATCCACCCATCTCGGCCTCCCAAAGTGCTGGGATTACAGGCTTGAGCCACCGCGCCCGGCCTCTTTTTTTATTTTTTAAGAGACGAGGTCTTGCTGTGTTACCCAGGTTGATACTGAACTTCTGACCTCAAGCAGTGCTCTGCCTTGGCCTCCCAAAGTGCTAGGATTACAGGCATGAGCCGCTGCACCTGGTCCTTTTAATTCTTTGAAGTGAATTTTTAGTTCTTATTTTCTTTGGCCCTCAACAAAACCTATGAAATTAGTGGGTGCGCCGGGCGCGGTGGCTCAAGCCTGTAATCCCAGCACTTTGGGAGGCCGAGGCGGGTGGATCACGAGGTCGAGAGATCGAGACCATCCTGGTCAACATGGTGAAACCCCGTCTCTACTAAAAATACAAAAAATTAGCTGGGCATGGTGGCGCGTGCCTGTAATCCCAGCTACTCAGGAGGCTGAGGCAGGAGAATTGCCTGAACCCAGGAGGCGGAGGTTGCGGTGAGCCGAGATCACGCCATTGCACTCCAGCCTGGGTAACGAGAGCAAAAACTCCGTCTCAAAAAAAAAAAAAAAAAAAAAAAAAAGAAATTAGTGGGTGCATTCTCATTGCATAGTTGAGGAAACTGAGGCCCAGTGATGCTAAAGCATGAGTGGTAGCAGAGTGGAGGCTGCAACCTAAGCATCTTCACTACCAGCCACTTTGAATTCTCTTTTAATGTAGTGAAACTTGAACATGGAAACCTCAATGCATGACACAGACTCAGGCGACCTTCCATATTAGTGTGAGTTTACTTTACTGATTTATTTTGAGATGGAGTTTTGCTCTTGTCTCCCAGGCTAGAGTGCAATGGTGCAATCTCAGCTCACTGCAACCTCTGCCTCTTGGGTTCAAGTGATTCTCCTTACTCAGCCTTCTGAGTAGCTGGGATTACAGGTGCCCTCTACCACACCTGGCTAATTTTTGGATTTTCAGTAGAGACGGGGTTTCACCATGTTGGCCAGGCTGGTCTCAAACTCCCGACCTCAGGTGATCTGCCTGCCTCGGCCTCCCAAAGTGCTGGGATTACAGGCGTGAGCCACTGTGCCCAGCTGTGAGTTTGTTTTATAACTATGTTTGTGATGTGTGTGTGTGTGTGTGTGTGTGTGTGTGTGTATCATAGTTAGAACAGTGATGCCATTTTCAGGAGCACACCAGAAACCAGGGGCCATGAGTGCAGGTTGATGTCTTACACTAGCCCCAGCTCCTGATTTATTTCAGTACTTTAGTGATTTCCAGTTGACACAAAGAAGCAGTCAGTTTTTCAAACAGCTCACCTTGCAGTCTTAGGACCCTCTGCAGTTAGACCCATCCAGAAGTTTGAAGGGAAACAGTGGTGGGCGTGTGTGTGAAAGTTGGCTGGCTAACCATGGCTGGCCAAGATGCTTTGACCAACAGGAGCACCCATCACACAACCTGGACCTTGCAGAGAGCTGTGATCCTGCCCCTGCACTCTGGCCTGAGCAACAAAGGTGTCTGCTGGAAGTGGCTCTGCTTGTACTGCTGTGGAAGTGTGCCAATGAGCACAGAAACTCAAATAGCCTTTGCAGCGCCTATGATGTATCTGTAGGAAATACTGGAGTTGGCACAGCAGACGGTGGGGGAGGGAAGCTTTGTCCTGGCATCTCTGGCCAACCTCCTAAGTGGATGGCTTTGGGGTCTCCAGGGGATCAATGTCTGGTCCGTAACAGGGGTTCTCAGACTCTCCATGGTGAAAGACTAGATGATTGTTTTTACAATTGTAATCTTTCATGGGCCAATTTTTAAAATATGAAAATTGTTATAATAAAATTGAAGATACATGAAAAGATAAGCCGATTATTTGCTTATTAGACTCAACGGACATGAGGTGGCTGTGTTCAATGATGAAACTGTAGAAGTTTCTACACTCTGACTTTTGATTCTGTACTTATCTTTCACAGACAATCACAGATAGTGCGTGGGCCAGCCTCGGTCACAGAGTGCACTGTATCCTGTCCCTTCTGGATGTGAGGTGGGTGTTTGTTAACTGAGATTTTAAAAAATGGGTTATAAGTTTACTTGAAAAAGGAAGCTGGTGATGAGCACTTGCAGAACACCCCAAACATCTGGGGAATGGTTGGAAATCCCTCGTCGTAGGCCACGCCTGTGTCACAGAGATGCTCCCACCTCCGTACTTTCCCTCACTCCTCTAGTGAGATCTGAGATTTCAAACAAACAACAATTACAAAAATCCTTTTCATCGTGGCAGATTTGAAACCTGTACAAAATTAGCCAGATGAGATGATGGACATGGGAATTTCATGTTCCCATCACATAACTTTGTTAGCATCACCTCGTGAGGGTCCTGTTTTGTATGTCCTCCTAATCCCTGAGGTGATTGTAAGCCAAATCCCTAGATAACTTTTTTGTTTTTGAGACAAAGTCTTGCTCTGTCACCTAGGCTGGGGCGCAGTGGCAGAATCATAACTCATGTAACCTCAAACGCCTGGGCTCAAGCAACCCTCCCCCCTCAGCTTTCCAAGTAGCTGGGACTACAGGTGTGTGCCACCATGTCCAGCTAATAAAAAATTCTGTTTAAAAAAATAAATAAAAATAAAAAATTTTTGTTTTGTAGACATGGGTTTCACAATGTTGCCCGAGCTGGTCTTGAACACCTGGCCTCAAGCAATCCTCCCACCTCCACCTCTGCCTCCCAAAGTGCTGAGATTACAGGTGTGAGCCACTGCACCCAGCCTTAAATATTTAACTTTAGAAATAGTTGAGTTATCTAAGTGCACAAGTTTGAATAGCTTAGAGTATAAAGAAAAGAAAACAAATAGTTGAATTATTCTCATAGGTATTTTGAAATGTACAATAGATTGTTAACTACATTCACCATGCTCATCTGTCACATCCTAATCTCATTTCTTCTGTCTAACTATGTATTGTACCTGTTACTCAGCCTGTCTTCCCCCATCTTCCCCACCCTTCCTGAACCCTGATAACTGCCCGTCTACCCTCCATCTTCATGAAAGCCACTTTTTTTTTTAGCTCCCCCCATGAGTAAGAATGTGATTTTTGACTTTCCATGCTTGGCTTATTTCATTTAACATAATGACCTCCAGTTCCATCCATGTTGCTGCAAGTGACAGGATCTCATTCTTTCTTACGAGTACTCCACTGTGTGTAACATTTTTAAAATCAATTTGTCCGTTAATGGGTACTTAGTTTGATTCCATGTCTTGGCTGCTGGGAGTAGTGCTGCAGTAAACATGGGTGTGCAGCTATCTCTTTGATATACTGATTTCCTTTCTTCTGTATATCCAGCCCAGTAGTGGGGTTGTTGGATTATATGATACTTCTATTTTGTTTTTTCTGAGGCATCTCCATATTGTTTTCCATAGTGGCTGTACTAATTTACATTCCCACAAACAATGTACAAAGGTTCATGAAAGGGTGAGTTTAAACAACATAACCACGGGATCGCAGTCACGTCTGACAAATAATGATTTTTTGACATCCTCACATACCCACTCAGTGTTCAAATTACCAGGGTCCAGTCTGGAGCGGCACATTCTCATGGTTGGGTCTTGCTTCTCTCACAGCCTGTAGGCTTTCCTTCCTCTCTCTCATCTCTCCCTTATTTATCCATTCTATACTTGGATCTGTTGTTGAAGAACTGTGGGGTTTCCCTTTGCCTGGGTTCTGCTGATGGTGACCTTTGCAAGTTGCTCTGACCTTTGCATTTCCTGTGAGTCGGATGGATTGATCTAGAAGGGTGATCAGATTCAGATTTGAACTTTTGGGCAAGGATGTTTTGTAGCTGGTGTTGCATTCTTCCGTTCAGACCTCTGCCTGGTCTGATGGAGGGGTCAGTCTTTTAATTGCCTCCTGGGTGTGAAGTCACCTTGGTGAGTCCCCAGCTGACCCTTGCCCATATCTTTTTTCCTTCTGCTGGTCTGGGCTCCCCCTTGTTCTGAGATCACCCTGGCTGCTCTGTGGAGAGCTGGTTGTGGGGTGGCCTGAGGAGGCATCAGTAGTGCAGGGACACTTCTAGGATGTTGTGGGGAGGGTTCCAGTGGGCGATGATGTGGCCTGATCCAGGTAGTGTCCAAGGGGTGGACAAAAGTGGGCGGATTCTGCAGCGCCAGCCTCATTCTTATGAGAGGAGCTGCTGCCCCTTAGGCCTTGGCTTCCGTGTCTGCTTTTTCTCCCTGGACAGTGCATTTTTATATGCCAGTCACATGACAAGCATTTATTGAGTGCCTGCTGCATACCTGGCTCTGAGAGCTTCCAGCTGTCCCCACTGCTGTCTGTAAGTGAACACACATGGTAGGAAGAGCAGCTCTGTGGACAGGCTCTGCCAGGTGAGAGCTTGGTAACTCGTGGCCTCTGAAGCCTGCTGTGTGCCTGGCATGAGGAGGGCCTTCAACTCCCCTGGAGAGGGAAGAGCAGTTTTCTTTCTCTCGCTGCTGTGTTACTGCAGAAGAGCTGGGACACCAGCGCCTTCTGTCCTCTCAGCCTGCCTCTGGCTGTGCTCCGGCTTACCACGCCCACCTCTCCACTTTCCCCTGAGGCCCTCTGTGCTGCAGAGCCCACTTAACCCAGGCACAGTGCAGCAAGGAGTGCAGGGACTTCACATCTGGAGCGGAGTGGCCGCTCTTCCTCAGGGGCTGGCCTGAGGCACTGCAGCCACCGACCCCCTAGTCTATCAGGTACTTGACTCTGGGAGGGGCCCCTAAGGGATTCGGGTCTCCCCAGCAGTGACCTCTGTTGCACCCTGCCTCCTACCCATGGCTGGACGCCCATAGCACCTGCACAGACTGGATTCATAGAAACACCTGCAAGGGAAAGAAATGGTAGGCGACCCTGAAGAGCCATCCCTCTGGAGGTTGAGCAGACTGGGTCCCCCACCCCTGCCTGGGACCTTACATTCTTTTTTTTTTTTTTTTTTTTTTTTTTTTTTGAGATGGAGTTTCACTCTTGTTACCCAGGCTGGAGTGCAATGGCGCGATCTCGGCTCACCGCAACCTCCGCCTCCCGGGTTCAGGCAATTCTCCTGCCTCAGCCTCCTGAGTAGCTGGGATTACAGGCACACGCCACCATGCCCAGCTAATTTTTTGTATTTTTTAGTAGAGACGGGGTTTCAGCATGTGACCAGGATGGTCTCGATCTCCTGAACTCGTGATCCACCCACCTCGGCCTCCCAAAGTGCTGGGATTACAGGCGTGAGCCACCACGCCCGGCCCTCTTTTTTTTTTTTTTTTTTTGGTGACAGTCTGACTGTCTTGTCCAGGCTGGAGTACAGTGGTGTGATCTTGGCTCACTGCAACCTCTGGCTCCCAGGTTCAAGTGATTCTCCTGCCTCAGCCTCCCAAGTAGCTGGGACTACAAGATGCGTACCACCACACCTGGCTAATTTTCATATATTTAGTAGAGATGGGGGTTTTACCATGTTGGCCAGGCTGGTCTTGAACTACTGACCTTAGGTGATCTGCTCACCTCAACCTCCCAAAGTGCTGGGATTACAGGTGTGAGCCATCTCGTAGCCTTCCACCTTACACTCTGGTTTTGGTGTAGACCACTGTGAAGGTTTTAAAAACTGGGGAAGCAGCTAGAGAGTGGAGGGGTGTGTGCAGAGGGCCTGGAACATGAAGCACAGGGTTCCGGGGCTGAGGAAGCACCCACTGTAGGGCAGCAGAGGGGCAGTGGGGGGGCAGACTCACAGGCATCGGAGGTGACCACAGAGGCCAGTGTCCACGCCTTACCAACAGGAAACCCCTGCCCTGGGTCACATGGTGAGGCCTGACAGAGCTCTGATGCGATGTCAGACTTCAGGGCTCCACCTTGGATTTTTGTGGCAACCTGTGATGTGTGCTGACCAGCCTCAGCCCTGCCCCATATGCCCCTCTTCACTAGGAGGATCAGAGGGCAGGGCAGGAGGGTTCTGCCCAAGAAGCCTCCCGACACAAGGGGCCAAGTGATGTGGACAGTGGCCATGTCTGCACTGTCCAGAATCATCTCCCAGGTGGCAGTTTCCTATTCAGTTGTTAATTGTGTATCAATATATGGGAGATAAGATTCCTGGGAAGAGAAACTTGACACTGAAGAAAATGCCTTTTTTTTTTTTTTATTAATAGAGAGACGGGGTCTTGCTCTGTTGCCCATGCTGGAGTACAGTGAAACAGTGCTAGCTCACTGCAGCCTTGAAATCCTGGGCTCAAGTGATTCTCCTGCCTCAGCCTCCTGAGTAGCTAGGACTACAGGTACACACCACTGTGCCTGGCTAATTAAAAAACAAATTTTGTTTTAGAAAAAATTTCTGGGTCTCGCTATGTTGCCCAGGCTGGTCTTCGGCTCCTCAGGTACATCAAGCAGTCCTCCTGCCCCAGCCCAGAAGATGCTTTCAGAAAAACTGTTTTACACTTTTTAATTGAGGTGCAACAGTTATACAGTAAAGTGTACCTCGCACTGGCTTTGATCTGTGTGTATGCCTGGGTAACCATTACCAGGTTTGGATCCAGAACATTCCCAGGGGGTGCCTTCTGTTGGTCCTGGCACAGGTGTATGAGCTCAGCATCCATGTCTCAGACTGCCCACGGTGGGTTTGCTGTAGGCCTCGTGCAGCCTCATCCTCTGCACGCGTCCCCTCAGCCAGCATGACGGAATGCCAGCCTCAGGCAGGTTCAGCACTCGGTGGGAGGCAGGGGCGTGGAGCCCTCAGCTAGGGATGTGGGCCTTCCACAGCTCATCTCATTGTTAGCCTGTTGAGGTCCCAGTAAGTGACACAGAGAAGTCCCAGGATGGATGTGATCAGTGGTGAGGAGGGCTTTCCAGGGAAATCAAGGCCTGGGGGAAGGTGAGGAGTGAATAGGTGAAAGGAGGTTAGGACCCATACCTGGAGGAGGGAACAGCATGTGCAAAGGCCCTGGAGAGGAAGGGAAGGTGGACCGTGCACCTGGAGCCCAGAGAGTGAGGCTCACAGTGGGATGATGGCTACAGAGGCAGGGGCCTGGCCTGGTCAGGCTTAGA